TCGATGTAATCGTAACTAGTCGACTAATCGTGGCAGCCCTACTCACAAGTGCATTATAGTTTGTTTATACTGTATGTGCACAGCAAAAACATGACATCAAACACTCAGTTTAGTGGTGAATGAAACCCCAGAGTTTAACTTTCTCTGAAATGAATTCAAACAGGGATAGACTTTCTTAAAATAGTAATAATAATAATCATCTGTGTTGGCCTTTTGCTTGTGAAATGGCCGTTAGGCTTGGATATAAATGCATAAGTGCGTATCTGAAAAAAATAACCTCACGGTTATTTATCCCATCGACTGGGTTTTTTTCCACTCCTTTCATGACCACGACTATCCCTGTTAACAGCACATCCTGTAAAGGATCTCATGGTATGCATGAATGTCTCTGAACATAATACAATCAGTTTGGAACTATACTGAAATCTATAGCAGTGACAGAGCAGAAGGGTTATGGACAAAGGCAACATTGTCATTTACAGTGGCATAGTTCTTCAGAATATGCCTGAAACGAAGCCCGTCTGTCTCTGGGTGTGTGTGTGTGTCTGTGTGTGTGTGTGTGTGTGTGTGTGTGTGTGTGTGTGTGTGTGTGTGTGTGAGAGAACGTGAGAGGAAGAGACATAAAAAATTCATTAGAAGATGGAAAGAGATGTCACATCGAATATGTACCCAGCTGCACTGACGACCACGGGCAGTGAGCTGTGTAAGGTTGGCGTGGTAGCAGCGAACACGGCACCACAGACCTGACCTGAGTGAATTCTAAATTATGCCATCACGGAAGTACAAAATTGGAAGCTTGATAAACCGAGCAAAATGTTTATTTTTATCTATAGTAGCTACACCATCGTTTATTTAAAGGAGAAGTCTGAAAAGCTTTACGGCTCTTCGGAAATTAACAAAGAGTAATTATATTATCCGTGAGCTGCTACAGTTTGGCTGAGAGTTTTTGGCATGAGCTGAAGTCCTCTATTCCCTTGCTGCTGCCAAGCGACATTTTCATTTAGAGGAAAGAAAAAGGAAAACATAAAAAATGCATTAAAGCAAGAGCACGGGCACAAATTGCATTAATTAAAATGCATCAGCTCAATATAGGCAATCACTAATAGAAAGTCAGTACAAGGCCGTGTGACATATCAATCCGCTTTGCTTAAAAAACATCCAGGCCATTGAGACTGATTGATTGATGGGCCCTACTTTGCTGTCTTTTACACTGATCCAGGTGTGTTGCTCTGATGACTTTTGTCACTAGGAAGTATAGTTCAGCATCAAAGGTATGATGATGTGGTCAAAGCCTTCATCTCCACAATGCCAGGAATATCCACTGGAGATAACATCATCCTCATCAAATATTTAAAGACGAGATGTAAAAAAAAAAAATAGACTTAAATGCCAGAAGATTCACAAGGGGATTTAAAGACAGGAGGAGTGTTACTCATTATCTATCTAAATGTCAGTGAGATGTGAAAGCCTCATAGAACGCTTTAAGTACTGAGATGCAACACAAATGTAACGTCACATCTCCTTATTACCCTTTAAATATGTTGATCTAAATGCATTAAAACTAATAAAAGTAAAATCACACATTTACTGATAGTGTATAAGTACAATAGTCTTTTTATACATATTTATTTCCTATGTGCTGCTGAGGTTGTTACACCACCAAACAAAGGCATCTCTTCTCTGAGAACACACTGGAAGAAACTAAGTGGCTATGGCACCGCGCTGTTTAGATATTGTTAGATTTGGGTTAAAGTGACAGTGAGTCACCGCCAATGGATAAACACCACCCAGAGATCTGACAACTGTGGCTTTTCGCTTCCTCCGCCAATGTAATTAAGTCCCCCAATATCTGGTTGTCACCTTGTTGTATCATTACTGTTGCTGGATCATTTCACTGTACTTACTTATTACTTAGTGCCCACTAAATATAGCTGTCCTCAGGCAGCTAGTGCGATAGCACATTGCAGCTGTGGGTTATTACATCCTAACCACCCCCTCCCACTCTAACCTTACTTAGACTTCAATAATATGCCACTCTGTGAGTTATGTTGGGGGGGGGGTTTCCTCAAGATTTACTCTGTCAAGGACATTGTGGACAGGAGTTATGATGCTAGTTTATTTTTCTTTCATCTGGGGACACTGCTGTGACACTGAGCCCCCCCAGTCAATTAATATAAGCCTTATAGCACTCTTAAAGCTTCAATGCTTAAGATTTGATGGAATTGAGTGGGAAGTTGCTGCATTTACTGATTATTTTTAGGATATCCCTAACATCTTATTATGGGGTGGGCGAATGGATAAGTTTGGGCCTTGATTCTTCAATGACACGCTGTGACAGATGATGCCTTCCAGCTCCTACTATTTAATCCTGACTTCTGTGAGAGTTTATAAAAAATATAAAACTTGACAGAAACTGACCCCAAAGTTTGTGCAATGCACACTGGCTTGTCTGTCCAAAAAACTGTCTTGTTTTGTGTGAATCACCACAGGAAGTGATTCACTATAACACATTTATCAGTCTGAAAATGTAGCTGATACCAAAGTGTTGCTAAAGTACATAGTGATGAGCTCAGAGAACTGAGCCCAACGCCTGCAGTAGTTCAGTAAATGATGCATAGCTTCTTTCTTTAATTAAATGGAGGTCTTTCAGTTAACTGTTAGTTTAGTTGCTGGTAGTTGGTTTAAGGCAGGGGTGGGGGAATGCCAGGCCTCAAGGGTCGATGTCCTGCAGGTTTTAGATGTGTCCTTGATCCAATACAGATGATTTAAATGGCTAAATTAACATGTCTTGAAGTACTCCAGAGACCTGGTAATGAACTAATCATTTGATTCAGGTGTGTTGACCCAGGGTGAGATCTAAAACCTGCGGGACATCGGCCCTTGAGGCCTGGAGTCCTTGGAAGTTACATGGAACACTATTGTGTTCCATGTAACTTCAGGCTGTGTGTGTGTGCGCGTGCATGTATGTATGTATTGGTTGCATTAGGAGATTTGACTGGGCAACACAGTGTCAGTAATGATAATGAGCAAATGGCCTGTTGCCATCACTTGCACGGCTAGTGCGTGGTGGCTATTCAATCGACCCATCGGCTCAAAAGTGTATTGGGTACCTGTGTATAGAACTTTGAAGAGTTTGGAGGTGTTATCTGAGTCTGTTAAGCTCATTAAACAAGTTGCTGTAGGGTTTCCAGGATCTCGTGCATAAATATGCACACCACATTAAATATTTTTGAGGCAAACCCACCATCTTCACTGCAGGTTTTTATCATGACATGTAAGGAAAGATTTTGACAAATAACTGTTTCTTGAAATTTGGTGTGTGACTTTGACAGCATCTAATGTAGTAGCTTACTTTTGGAAATCTTTGTGGTCCTAGGCAGGAGAGCTCTAGTTCTAAGCCAGTGCTTTTGTCAAGGGCACTTTTAAGGAGAATTAATCCCTAACCTATCGTTCCTAGAGGTGACCTGTACACAGCAGTGAGAAGACATGCTGCCCATATGTTTTAGCCAAATCTTTTACTTTTGCCATGCCACGTGATCTAGGTTTGTAGGTGTTTTACCTTAAACTTCTCATTTTAAAGTAACTACCAATTTAGGTCAACTCTGAGTAATTTGAATAATCTTCTTAATCAAATATTATCTTTAACACCTCCTAACTTTGAGGAAGAGCTTTAAGAGAATTTCATAAGCCATCACAAATGACTGGTGACCTACTTCAGTCCTTTAAAATCTCCCTTTCTCATAAAACTACAGCCAATGTCTCCATGACTGAGTGGCAGTTTTATTTGGAAACAAGTCAGGCTTGTCATGCTGAAGCAAGTTCGTACCACCAGTGCTTGAGCTGGTTAAGACCAGTCTGTGGTATTAGTATTAGTCTTAGTATTGCAGTACACCCACACTAGCCACTTTGTTAAGTATAGCTTGTTACCTACTTTCACTGCCTGAATTTTTCAAGGCACAGACTTTAGTCCATACTGACATGACAACATCACACAGTTCCAGCAGATACATACATCCTTGATGTGACTCTTCCTTTTCATCACATCCCAAAGGTACTCTATTATCTTGAGAGCTAGTGACTATGGAGGACATTTGAGTACAAAGAAGCTGTTCAAGAAACCACTTTGAGATGATTGGAGTTTTGGGACATGACATCAGAAGTTAGGGACATTCTAGCCATAAAAAGATGGAAATAATCAGCAACAATACTAAAGTATGCTGTGCTATAATTCTCAGTTAGGGTACTAAGGGCCCAAAATGTGCAGTGAAAGTAGCATCCATACTATCACACCACCAGCAGCACTCTGAACAGTTTAATTAAGGAAGAATTTATTTAGTTTTTCTTCAGTGATGGTTACTCCAAATTCTGACCCTACCATCCAAATGTCGAAGCAGAAATTATGAGTCATCAGGCCAGGCAACATTTTTCCAGTCGTCTGTTGTTCCATTAGGTGAGTGTGTGCAAGCTGGTACCTCAGTTTCCTATTTTTAACTGATGGGAATGGTACCTTGTGTGGACTTCTACTGATGTAGCCCATCTGCTTCAAGGTTTAACCTGTTGTGTGTCCAGAGATGCTCTTCTACATATGTTGGTTATTTAAGTTACTGACAGTCTACACATCAACAATGCATTTTCTTATCTGAAAGACTGCTGTTCACTGGACATTTTGTGTTTCCCTGTTATGGACCTGTCCAGAGTGTAGCATGCCTCTTACCCTATGACAGCTGGGATAGGCTCGAGTCATTTTTTTTTTTTAGTTAAGTAAAATATTTCTCTATAAATTTTCAAGTTTTACTAGATGGCGTATGATCAAAGTGTTAAAAGGGCATTAATTGTTGCTGGATAATCTGATTTGTGGTAATGTTGAGGGCTCAAGGTCATGGCTCTGACTTCCAGAGAAGAATTCAACACGGTGTACAGATTTGTGTACAATACATGACATTACTGGTTGAAAAAAAGACTTTAATTCAGTGCCTGGGAGAAACAGTACAGCACAGTTATAATAATAAAACAATCCCCCCCACCCCCCTCAAAAAACCCCCCCACTGATATCCACAGGTTTGTTTCAGACAGCGGTAGCATTAATGCCGTTACTCTCTGCAATTTAAGACAAGGCCAAAAAAAAAAGTTATTCCGGTTTTCCGCTTCCTGAGACAGCAATCACTCCAACAAAGATTAGCAGCAAGCTAATCATTTCCAGCTTAATCGCTGATAGGCTTTTATAAGGTGGAAAGACGAAAAGGGGGAAATAATCACTTTAAAATCATCAGGCTCAATTTCTATGAGAAGGAATCTTGCCCTCTGGATACATGATTATTCATAACAGGAGTGTCGTGACCTGGGCAAAAACTGTTCTAATGCTCGGCTATCAACAGAACGAGTAAAAAAGAAGTATGAGCTTATTGTGTAAAGCTTTTCCGTGTGTGTAGTAAGGCACAGGCTCTTTACAGAAATTTTTTTTTTTTAAATGTTCCATATTTTGTAGATTATAAATGAGGGTATTTAGCATTTTTTAATTTTCCATTTTTTTATACTTACATAACTTCATTTAAAAATAAATATCTATTATCTTATTTCAATTTAAAATAGTCCTTAAAAGTTTGCTGTACCCCATCACAACCCACAATTCCAAACAAGAATTCAGAGGAAAAGAAATGTTGAAATCATCAATACCTATGTTATGGAGAAAAAAAATGGATATAGCATTTTTAACAAAAGGTAAGACACTGATAACATAAAAAAAACACAAATTAAAAACATGTAATATACAGAATTTTTAAAAAGGGCTAAAATTTGAGAAGGCTTTTAGCTTCTCTGCTGTTGTTCTGCCCCTTGAAGAAAATATGTGCCAATGCCCCCGAGAAAAGGGACCAACACCCCTCGGTTTAACCCATCTCTTTGGCGTGTATGGAGGGGAGGAGCAGACAATGCAAAGTCTCCCTGCCGGGCGAAGTGCCGCTGGGCCAGTTCATTGGACGCCACATGTTCACAAGCTGTGTTATCAGGGGAATTAAGAACAAAACATGTCTGTTTGGATGTAAAATGGATGTTTAGCTAGGGCCCAGAATTATGACAAAAAAATTTTTAAAAAGCAGGAGAATGGACATTTATTTTTTGGAGGGTGATGTGAAGGCGTTCTCAATGCAAAGGACGATGTAGGAGCCGGAGCAGCTGCTAGGGCTTTGCTGCAAGAGGTGGCCGCTATGTAGTGATGATGCCAGACCAGTCACAGCGTGGTCGCCAGTTCGCCACGTTTCGCAGTACTGGTCTGTTTGCCGGTGGCCTTTCTTGCTTGATCCGTGCCAGACCATTTTTTCAGGCCTGGAGGTGATTAAGAACAAAAGATTGCAAATAAGCAAAAGAAACGAAAGCTGGTTAACAACCGCATGCTGGTGTTAAATATATTTATTTTTTGGGGGGTACAAAGACTCACCAAGCGCTATCCCTGAGGATGTCTCTACCATCAAAGGAGTAGATTGGTACGTTTTCCCTCATTTTGCTGGCATTGTCACCAAAGAGAGAGTCCCAACTGCTAAACAACACTTGGTTCTGCAAGGAAAAAGAAAAATAACATTTAACATAGTGACTTTATTCAGTTTTTCAGAAAGATGGTGTCAGTCATGCAGCTGTCCTTGTTGGAATGTTGGGTCTTACCTTGAGGTTTACTATGGGGACGCTGTCCCTGTCCGACCTGCGGACGATGGTGTAGAGGTCTTGAAGCTTAGAGGACAGGAAGGCTCTAAATGTTCCCTTCAGGCCGATAGCACGAGCCTGCTGGAAGCACAGGAAGTCTGCCCCACGAATCCCTCGCATGTTACCGGTGTGAGGGCTGTTCAAGGCGATGAGGTGCAGCTGATAAAGACAGATTCACAAGAAGAAAATCACACAAATTTTCATTTTACTTCCACTTTGGAACAACTTAAGATGTTTTACAAAGGTCAGGGCTTTACATGATTAATGGTTTATATCAGTAGCTAAGTAACGTAACGTCTCCTGGGCTGGGATTCACAGCCTATGGAAGTGGCAGCTAGAATCCTCTATCAGATAATAATGGGATAACATTCCTCTCCCAAAAGTCAAGCAATTAAGCTCCTCAGTTCCCAAATGTCTACCGACTGTTGTTAAAAGAAGAAGGGATTCTACATAATGTTTTGTTTTTATGATTTTCATTTTAGGCAAGCTAGCTAGTTTTCATCCCTATGTAAGGTAAATTAATATTTATTATATTTTTGAGTATCCACTTTACTCACTCCTGATCCCTGTATGTCGAAATGGCCAGCAGGCTCCAGCACAGGAGGGACGGGTTGTCTTTGAGGAGTGACAGGGAATCTGCTTTCCGTCTGCTGGTTGGCAAATCTTCCATCGGTATGGCCTGTGTGTGTCTGGTCTGGGAATCTGGGATCATACTTTGGAAAGTAACGGGGGTCTGCGGGTGTGGGTGCTGGAGGTTCAATGGGTTTTATCAAAGTGAAACCCTCAGAGTAATGGCCTGCTCCGTTGTTTTGGGACTGGTCCTGAGACTGCGGGTACAGAATCACAGGTGGAGGTTGGACTTCTGCCACCTCATTCTCCTTTGTGTGAAAATAGAAGAAATAATTAAGTCATATGAACGTTACAACATTTTATTTCATGGTTCTGTGAAACTTACCAGATCTCTGAAGAAAGGATTGTACTCTCCAAGCTGAAAGGAGAGGAATCAACCATTTAGTGTCGCTTTACATTAAGTTTTTCATATGTTATATAATAGCGTAAACTGGTTTTAAAGTTGATTTTATCAAATTCAAAGCACTGCACTGAAAAGTAGATAAAAGTACCATGACTTGCCGCACTCCATCGCGTACTCTCAAATAAAGGTCTGCTCTGTCTATGATGTAGATGAGGCTGCCCTCTTCCTGACGTCTGGCCGTAGCAATCATTGTGTCATATGATCTCAAAGCTGTCACCTGCACATACACACAAAAAAGACCACCATACATCAGACATATATATTTAAGAAAAATTACAAACAGTACAGTGCGTGCTGGCGGGCAGGGGCAGAGACCGTGGCGGACTGATCTCTACTAAAACTAGCAAGTGCTAGTGCTTGAGGTTGAGAGGTACTGGCTAGATATAGTTGGGCTCACGTCAACACACGACTTAGGCAGAGATTTGACAGCATTCCAGGGACACTCAGGACATTGAGTCCGAATGGACCATGTTCAGCACCTCCATTGCTGAAGCTGCTGCACTGAGCTGTGGCTGAAGTGGTTGGTGCCTGTTGTCTTAGTGGTAACCCCAAACCAGACAGTGGACACCGGAAGTCAAATTAACCATCAGGCTGAAGGCCTGACTAAGCTTATCTGGCCTGTGGGACTTCGGAGGCAGCCAATAGGTACTAAGAGGCAAAGTGGAACGCGGTTCGGGCAGTGGCTGAAGCAAAACTGGGGTGTGGGAGGAGTTCAGAGAGGCCATGGAAAAAGGCTTTTGGACTGCCTCAGAGATTCTGCTGAACCATCAGGTGACTCAGAAGGGGAAAGCAGTGCTCTACCTGCACTGTATGTAGTGCAGGTGGAGTAGTGCTGACTTTAACTAAAGATATTTCTGCTTGGTGGAAGGAATTGTTCAAAGATCTCCTTAATCCCAGTGACACGTCTTCGGTAGAGGAGCAGAGTCCTGGGACGAGGGGGACGGCTCACCCATCACTGGGGGTGAAGTCACTGGGGCACTTAAACAACTCCTTAGTGGCAGGTTCCTAGAGGTTGATGAGCTTCATACTGAGTTCCTGAATGTTTTAGATGTTGCAGGGCTGTCTTGGTTGACACGCCTCTACAATGTTGTGTGGAGATCAGGGGTGGTACCTTTGGATTGGCAGACTGGGGTGGTGTTTCGCATCTTTACGAAAGGGGACCGGAGGTTGTTCTCCAGCTATGGGGGGGGAATCACACTCCTCAGCCTACCTGGGAAAGTCTATGCCAGGGTGCTGAAAAGGAGAGTCTGTCCATTAGTGAACCTCAGATACAGGAGAAACAATAGGGTTTTCATTCGGGCAATAAGTCGGACTTCTTCCCGGTGGGTAATGGACTCGGGTTGTGGGGGCAGCAACCTAAGCAGAGAAGCCCAGACCTCCCTCTCCCTAGCCACCTCCTCCCTGGCAAACCCTTGGATAAGCGGAAGACGATGGATATGAATGGATGGATGGGTACAAACAATAAATTAAAAACTGCCATTCTACAGATAAATGAATTTTGTGAATTCAGAGTCTTGTGATGGAGCCATGATTAAAATTCAGTGATAGTACTCACTCCAGAGGATAGTCCAGGAGCTCCAGGTGGGCCAGGAGGACCAGGGACACTGACAGCTAAAATACAAAAAACAAAAAACAAAACAGAAGTGCAATTAAGTAAGTAAGATTAAGTTGTGGCTACCTGTAAACAATTCAGATTTACAGGTTAACCCCTTAGCAGTCCTATTAGTCCCCTAAACCATCCAATGTCCCGTGGGCGGTACGTCCGACTGCTAACAGTTTAAAACCTGTAAACCTGTATTGTTTTTTTCCGCAATAAAGAAGTGTCTTTTTTTTTTTCTTTTGTTGTGGAAAAAGACACTTACGATAATTGGGCCGATATGATCCTGAAAGGGTCCCCGGGGGTCCAGGTGGTCCTGGAGGACCTGGACGACCATCATAACCAATTCCTGGTGGCCCTGTTGGTCCAGATGGTCCAGGTGGCCCAATTATAGAATCTCCCTTTGGACCCTAATGTGGAAAAGAAAATCAGAAATTTCTGGAATATCACATCTAGATCGGGGCCAAATGTTTTTTGGTTGTATTAACAAATAAGGTCTCAGAACTCACTGGGAGGCCAGGTGGTCCTGGGGGTCCTTGTACTCCTCCAAATCGAGGGTCATAATATCCACCACCGGGCTCTCCTTTTTCTCCCTTGACACCTGATTCTCCACGCTCTCCCTTCAGTTCATTCTGTCAGAAGAAGTTCAACTTTGTTTGTTGATGAAGAAGAAATAAACTAAAAAAAATGACCGGAGTAACAATGAGCTAGCTTACCCTCAATGTGTAGATATCAACATTAGGGGATGCTCCTGGGAAAAAAAAAAGATGCTTTAGTGAAGAGGTTGTGTAGCGTGCTGGATATGCAGCATTATAGTTGTGCTGACAGTTCATGATCTCGGGGATCAACAATGGTCAGTGTGATCACAAAGACATGTAATTCACATGTACGAATTTCAACAGCTGGTAAATCAAATGAAACTGTTTCACTGCCCCACGCCATTGTAATCCTCAGAGAGCAGGGTAGTTGTTTAAGAATCAAAATGAAGGAGAAGGTAATCATTGCAGTGAGTAATCAGTGTTTTACACGAGCAGTCTGTGTCATACTAAGGGCCAATCAAACAGCTGGTTAGCATGTCATTGTTTAGCTGTCATCACTGTGAGATTTTGCCAACAAATATACCCCCGCAAATGTCACACATGCCCACCTTCAAGTGTTGAAACAATGACCACTTTCCTTATAAAATGTATTTTTCCATTAATGCATTCAGTCAATACTACCAGTATATTTGGATCCAGATTAGGGAGGTCAACAAGTCGACTAATCATCACTGTTGTCACTAGTTGATACCAGACTTACTAGTCATTTAATCTAATTGTTAAAATATTAATTGATGCCCAAAGCCAGAAAATTAATGTCTCCTAAATTTTTTTTGTAGCCATCTGCCATCAGATTGTTATTGAGAAAAGCCATAAATCTGTTAGCAGAGTTTTTGTTAAAACTATTATTGCAGGTTCAATTGGCAGAAATGAGCTTTCTCCAAAAGGTGGATGGGCTCTCTCCCACCTGTGATAGGGTGAGGAGTTCACTTATTTGAGAGCTGTTCAGAGTAGAGGACGCAATAAATGGTTTAAAATGCCTTTAATTGAAAATATCAAAAACTAACAAACAGTTCTCAAATTTAACCTAAATCTGAGTGTTTCTTAGTCTTAGACTAGTCGGTTAGTCGACTAAGAAATTAGTCACCAGGAACAACTCTAATCCAGATTATTTGTGTTGCACTTATTCAGATTTTACTATTGCTGAGTTAGTAGTAAACGCGCATTTACAGACAAACATGAGAAACTACAGACAACAGCTGCAATCTGTTAGCGACCAAAGCAATCACTAGGAGGTTTTTGGTGTAGCACCTTCTTTGTATGTGATTTCACTTATTGAGAGCCAGAAACTTCCGGGAACTATTCCCAACCAATCGCAGATTACACACTTCCCTCGCAGTATAGCACATAACTCTTTAAGCAGTATATGCACGACTTTACGTGAGAAACGTCAACAGAAAAGATTGCACAACCCTTTACAATCATAAAGGAATGAAATTTCATTTATTCTTAATTCAAAAATGAGGATTTACCTGGGATCCCCGGAAGTCCAGTCTCACCACGCTCCCCTTTTTCTCCTTTAATTGCTACAACACAAAATACAAAGTTTTTCACATTACAAAATTACTCATAGCTCTCTGCAGGTTTAAATATCATTGAACCCTTGAAAGCCATGTGCTCTACTGCCAGTGACTTCTTCATTCATTTTTTTTTTCTCTCAAACCTAGACTTGAAAGCTTAATCTCCTGACAGTGGAGTGTATATCCTTTGCAGGCTGAAGGAGCAGAACTGAAATTAAATTCATAGATTGCACTGTTTATCTCTGCAGACACTTTGAACCCTTTAAAAATCCTTCCTCCTTTCCCCTCTCATATTTACTGAACCTCTCTACTGTGATCCTTCTTTTTGATTAATTTAATCTGACCATATATTTTTACACACTAAAACAATAAAACAAGTGAAGATGACATACCTGGATAATTCCTTTCATCATAGCGCTGTTAACAGAAGGGAAACAATCAACAACAACAACAGAGGAAAATAATCGGTAGGGAAGATGAGACATGACCAGATTTTTGGGAAGCTGTGTACTCACATTGAAACGGTCTAAAGGACTGGCTGGGCTAGGGGGTCCTGGTGGCCCAGGTGGTCCTGGAGGGCCAGGCACTCCCTAATGAAAACAAAGATATTCAATATTTTTGGAGGACTCAATAATTTTGTGAGTTTAATATAACTGACTGTAAAGGTTTGGCTGGGATTAAATGTGGCCACTCTTGGAGAAATGTGTTTGGCAACATAAAATTTGGCATTTAAAAACAAAAGAAGAGCAGAGTAGGTTGTTTTGTGTGAGGAAACAAGTGCAGCTCTTGTTTAATGAAGCACAAGTTGCTTTAGTAATGCTTAGCTAAATCAAAGTTCACTTGAATGCAGTATTTAGAACCTAAGCAAAGGTGTCATTGTTGAACTTAGTTTCATTAAAAGATTAAAAAAACAGAGCTAACAAATTAATGACGCTCAGTATATGTTTAGTTATGAAAGCTAAAACCAAAAAAATAAAAAAAGGGGGGGAAAATACATATTTGTTGGGGTTAAAAAAACATTTATAACGTGCTAAAATGAACATTTTAAGTTGAAAGTGACTCTGTATTTACACTCAGTGTCAAGAGTTCTGTGTGATTGCCAGTTGTGTTTAAAGTGACCTTTAACATGGGAGCAGGGAAGTCACACAATGCCTGTAAAATACAGGCTTGAGGGATGTAAAGTAAGCTAATGTCATCAAACCATCTTTGCTGCTAAGCCTCCCAAGCTAAGGTATTGATAATAGTATTAATACTTACAGGGTAGCCAAAGCCAGATCCAACCCCTGGCTCTCCTTTCTCACCCTTATATCCATTTATCCCAGGACGACCCTGAAGGGAGAAAGTTATTGATTTATTTGCCTTTTGTTGAACTTGGAAAATAGAAACAAAAAGATAAAAACCATACTAAGGTCAAAAGTAAAAAATGGTATAGAATACACTTCACTATGGTCAGTATTTAGTAAAACAATAAGAAAGAAGCACTTACAGGTCTTCCAGGCATTCCAATTTCACCTTTCAGTCCAGGAGGCCCATATGGTCCCTGCAAATATAAATTATATAATTAAACGCGCTGTCAATTGACTGGTGATTGAATAAGGTAATTGAAACAGTTTCAGTACATTAACCAAAAAAAGTCTTAGAAATGGAAAACCTTACAGGGGGCCCAACAGGTCCTGGAAGTCCTCTGTCTCCCTGCATGCATGGTTTGGGGGGATGATTAGTTTCAAGAACAAAATGATCATCACAAAATGCACCAAAAACCATGAGTACATTAATGCATAATAGATAGAAATCCAGATAGTCAAATTCACTGAGACTCACCTTTGGACCAGCTAGCTGTGCCAAATTCAGAAAATTTCCATCAGGGCCAATAACCAAGCCTGGCTCCCCTTTTTCACCCTGAACACAGAGCACCAAGACAACAAATACTCAATAACAGAAATGATCAGAGCAGCCAAATTAAAGGTCTAACATATAATGTAGACTTTACCTTCTCACCATAGCCTGGAGGACCAGGATCTCCTCGGTCACCTTTTGGCCCCATTGGACCCTGCAATATATTAAAAAAATACAATAAAATACATGAAAACATTAGATGAGTTAGATTTGACAGCACCCAACGTTTTGTTACCATGAAGCAAATAAGCCAATATAATGGGCCTTCTCATTGACATTCGTATAAAGAATCATTTGTTGATGGCTAAATTAATAAATACAGATATTGGTACGTCACCTGCCTACACACCCTATCCTCCTGATTTACATACAAACTAGCGCTCCAAACGTGTTTATCTCAAAGTAATCCCTGACTAATACAGCATTACAGTATTGTTTCAAAAGAATGAAATGATATCATCTGATGTCCCACATTCATGTAATTACATATTAAATTTTTAATATTGTGCATATAGTTATGCAAGAAAACACAATTATGTAACAGAGGCAAACTCACAGGAAATCCAGCTCGACCAGGTAAACCAGGCCCACCCTGTAGAGGAAAACAAAACCACACACCTCTGTTTAACTTGATTAGATCAGTTTTATTCATTTTCCTTAATACCAGCCAAACATTTGTTTACCAGTAACTATGAGCAAATCCACACACAGTTTATGGCTAACACAAATTAAGGCTAAAAATGCAGGTTGTGAAGTTAAGTGCTGCTTTTGCTTGGTGTAGGTGAATGAAAACCAGTGTTTGTTTCTTGGCTGTCACTTTTCCACAGTTGTTACAACACTGTAAATTTGTAATGAGTAGTGAGGTTTCTTTTGAACACCATAATTGTATGCTCTGCTGTGCGGTATAAATCTTGGTAGAAGCTGTTTGTCATGTTTCAGTTGACAGCCCATTTTGTAAGGGAACTATTCCTTATAGTCACAAATGCAAACATTTAAAAATATGGCAGAAGAAGTTGTAAAATATTCCCCTGGATGTTTCCTTTGAGTACGACTTACTTTTCCAGTGGGACTCTGCTGCCAACATCAACTTCAAAATGGGCTTTGGCCCTTATTTGCTAGTATCAGCAAATATCGAGGCTGGTATGGATCTACAGGTCCATGCTCACTGTGATACCAGTGTTAGAGCTGTTTTGTAACATGTTGATATTGGTATTATTGTGCAATATTGTGTAAGTCCAGGTTTTTCCACTGTGTGATTACAGAGCCTATGCATATTTCATGCAGTATGCATAAAGGCGAATAAGCATTAGTTGGTTGAAATTGTTTTGGGTTTTTTTTCTTTTCAAAGGCCATCGGCTGAGATTCTCCCACAGATTGTGGATTCGCCTGATGATTAGAAATGAAGGAATCACTTACTGGTACCCTTTGAGAGTAACCAAAGCTGCATGATTCAACATTAGGAAACAAAATTGTAGGACGTCCTGGTAAATTGTATAAAAAAAAATGTTAGTGTTAATACCAATTGTAACATTTCTGGGTTGTGACATGGACCACAAGCATGCTTGAATCTGTGCAAGTAACATGAAGTGAAACTCCTCTTTGTCTTTAGTCCAAAAACACCTTCAGAGTTCAAACATACCTGAGGGCCAGCTCTGCCAACGACTTCATCAAACTGTGGAAAAGACAGACATTACCATCAGGTTTGGATTTTAGCTTCATACAGACTCAAACAGCAGTGCTCATCTCTTTTTACTTACAATGCCTGATGTCTGGTAGACGATTTGTCCTGGTGGTCCAGGTGGACCTGGTGGACCGGGTAGTCCAGTTCCATCTCGACCTGGTTCACCCTAAAACCAGAAAGAAAGAGGAAAAAATTTTTATTAGCATCCAGTAGTGAAAGCTTATCACATAATCAACATGACAGAAGGTTAAGGAAGGCTACTGTGGTAGGAGATATCATTCGTGTTATATCTTAGTAATGAGTGCTTTGTAGTAAAACAAGTGCAATCATAATTACAAATGATATTCACCATCTCTCCTTTGTCTCCTCTGTCACCCTTTGATCCCTGTAAAATTCAAAGAGTGAGATACTTTAACAACAGAGAAACCTGTATGTCAAATGACCGGTCTGCAGACTAACCTAATTACATGAAACGTTCAAACAACAAACGTTGTTTTTTTGTTTTTTCCATATATCAGTTTTAATATACAAGTTGTCCATGAATGCCAACATGAAAAATTCTATTCCAAAGATAAAGAAGATAAAAACTTGGAGAAATTATATCATATGTAAATATTCTTCAACTAATCTGTCTAATTCAGAGATTTAATTTAATCTTTATTTATTAAGTTGTTTTTGTTGGGTTTTTTTTTACCGGAGGTCCAGGGAAGCCATCCAGGCCTGGTTGCCCATCTCTTCCAGCAGGACCTCCATCACCCTTCTCACCTGGTCTGCCGGGCAAGCCGGGGTTACCCTGCAGAAGAACACTCAATTTGAGTTGGTGGCAAACAAAATTATAAACGAAGAAGAAGAAAATGGCAGCAAACAGGAAACAGAGCAGGAACTTGAACTTCTAAATCTTGCTTCCTTGACTTAATGTGGAACACATCAAGGTAGATTTGATGTTTCAAACTCAGCGTAGGACTATGTTTTGCAAGCAGGAGGGCAAAACCTAATGCAAAGGGCAATGATAATCAGTGTCGACTGTTGGCTGGATGGATGTTGGTCAACAACTAATTACATTTAAGGACATGTTGTTGTTATTTGTGATCATACTCCAAGCTTTCCACCTCAACATAAATTATAATTTACTTACTGGAAGTCCAGGTAATCCAGGAGGACCCTGAAAGCACATATTTGTTTGGGTTATTTGGTAGTTCATGTATAGCTTCTTCATCCTTCATCATGTATTTGCAGTTTCCTCGTAAAAAATGTTTGAACAGTTCTAAAAACATTCTTACAGAAATCTGCAAGCGAGAGATCATGTTGGTCAGAAACCTTTTAATCAGATGGCTTAATAGACTCTTGATGAACCCTTGATGGAACCGTATTTGATCATTTAAATGTACATCAAAACTGGCCATCCCATAACTCACTGTAAGGTTGAGTTTCTTCTAGCCAATCAGGAAAGATCGGGTTATGTGACAGCTAGTGACATTAGCGTATCTGACCTATCAGCAATGGCCCAGAACCATGTCAGAATTTGGAAAATTGAGTTTTTCATCCTTACCTACGCCAAAATTTATGGTTATAATATCAGAACTAACTGTGGTAAGTTGATGAAACCCTTGGATTATATATAGTTCAATAGGTATTGTTAGTGTTGGATTTCTAGAAATTTGGTGATACCATATTGGATCACATGACTTGGTCATTTAAAACTAACACAATTGGTGGTAGGTCAGTTATTCACGAATGCACCAAAAGCATTTACCAAGCCATACTTGTTATTTCTAAAAAGAAAAAAAAGAAAAAGTACCTTATCATAAACTCACTGTAGGACAGTAGTGGTCAACAGTATATTGGATGTTGCCATGACTACACAGTGATCGAATACAAGGTTTACCCCTCATATACAGGAATATATAAATTTGTTTGTTTGGTAAATGGCCTGTATTTGTATAGTGCTTTACTTAGTCCCTATGGACCCCAAAGCACTTTACACTACATTCAGTCATCCACCCATTCACACACACACTGGTAATGGCAAGCTACATTGTAGCCACAGCTGCCCTGGGGCGCACTGGCAGAGGCGAGGCTGCCGTACACTGGCACCACCAGGCCCTCTGACCACCACCAGTAGGCAATGGGTGAAGTGTCTTGCCCAAGGACACAACGACCGAGACTGTCCGAGTGGGGCTCGAACTGCCAACTCTTGAGCCACGATCGCCTCGTTTAATAGCCTTATAGCAGTTTTTTACATATATTTGTGTTTGTTTTTAATCCAAGTACCGTTAAAATGATTTAGTCAGTCAATATTTGTAATTTGTTTTGATTTATGAATGAAAAAAGGGCTGCAACATAATGTTATTTTAACTTACTTTGTTATATTTTCAGTTTCTATGGTAATATATTTTGTTTTCACTAATTCTAAACTTCCTTGTTATTGTTCCTTCAAAGTTGCCTGGATTTTGCTTTAAAATGCTTCCTGCTTGTCTCTTTTATGGAAGCCAGCCCATCAAGTACCATACTGTAGAACAGCACAACCTATATAAGGGTGTATACACGTGCTCAGTTCGGTGAATGAACATTTCCATGTATTATAAAGGGTTAAGCAAGTACTACTGCTTATTCAAATTTTTACTCTGAATTTAAGCCTTATATAAAATTATCTTCCAAAGTCGCTAAGAACACGTGTACCTGTATTCCATCTGGTCCTCCGATGCCAGGACGTCCATTGAAACCACCAGCAGAGCCCTCCATGTCATCCTTCAAATAAAATATTTTAAATTGCATTTTTGGAGATTAAATGTTTTTTGCAAAAGAAACATAGTAAAGCTAGCACGTCACTAGTCTGTCACATTTTGCAGTCATCCGACAACATTTTGGATCATGGGAGGGGAAAACTCTGGAAACTGATTGAAACATTTCCAGTAAATATTTTAACTTATAAGCCAATCACTATATGTACGTAACTAAATATGTCTACTTTCACCCAGCCATTCATCCATTTTCTGCAGCTTATCCAGGTTGGAATGATGGGCGCAGCAGTCTAAGCAGAGAAACCAGACCTCCCTCTGCTTGCCCACCTCCTCTACCTCTTCAAAGATCAGGTCATGCCTCAGTGTGGAGGTTGCCCCTCCCTGAACCGTATCTGCCTGAGGTTTCTTCCCTTAAAAGGGAGTTTTCCCTTCCACTGTTGCCAACTGCTTGCTCATAGTGGGTTGTCTGATTGCTGGGGTTTCCTCTGTATTATTGTAGTGCACTGCAAAAACTCAAAATCTTGCCAAGTATATTTATCTTATTTCTAGTAGAAATATCTCATTACACTTAAAATAAGACAAAATCAGCTACAAAGCAACATTCTAGTAAGATATAGGAACTTGTTAGAATGTAATGCACCTTGAGGTAATGGTTGCTAGGATTCAATGCTATACAAGTAAAATGTACCTTATCATGATAACTTACAAATCCAACTCTATAACTTGGTCCAGGAGGCCCGGGAGGTCCAGGAGATCCAACTGGTCCCCTGGGTCCAGGCAGACCAGCTAATCCTGGCTCTCCTTGAGTTCCTGGTAAACCACGTTCTCCTTGAGCACCCTGTAGGGCAAAAATTAAATAAATTAATCAAAGCAAATAAGAGATTTAATACTTAGTAGACTGCATAATAAACAACAGTCGCCTCACAAGTGTCTTGAGGTGACTGTTTTTGTGATTTGGCACTGTATATATATATATATAAAACTGAATTGAATAAATAAAGCTACAATGTGTTTTTAATTAATTGGCATCATGTATCATCCAAAACTAAACATGCAGCCATCAGAGTACTTGGAAGGAGTTTTCAAAGCACACACTGTTTTGCACAAAACCCATGCTCACTGTCCTGGGACTAAATTTAGATGTCAGAATATGTGAAATAAAACACATCCAATTCTCAGATTAGACTTAAAGTCAAGTCTGCAACTGACAGTATTTGACAGACATTTGCATATTGTTAGAAGACACAAATCCTCTTTGATGACTGACACGCTGGAGCCCAGTTACCTGCAGATGGGAAGGCTTAGGAGAGGAGGAGGAGGATAAATAGTGAGGCAGCAGATTGGTGAGAAAAGAAAAGTAGGAACTTGGCTGAGGAAGAGAAAGGGATAGGAAAAGTTTTAGAAGTATTACATGACATACTGGTTATCCTGTGGGTGCCTCTACATACTTGGAGATCCCAAAAGTGTGCCATAAACTTTGAAATGTACTTACCTTCTTCTCAGGATTGTCTTAACAATTTTTAATTACTAAAACAAGTTACATCAAGAGCACTTTATGACACTAACTTTGAGATAAAATCTTTAAAAAGGAAAGAGGAGAGAGGAAAAAAAACAGGTCATCAATTCACACCTTTTCTCCAATTGCTCCTGGAAGACCCAGCTCGCCAGCATCACCCTATTTTAGGAAACACAGTGACAACACTTATCAACACCATTTAAAGTTGAATAGAAACTTGAAATAAGAACTATGAACAATTTTCTTACTTTCAGAAAATCTAAAAGCGGCTGTGGACATGTTGTGTCTAATGCCTGTCCAAAGACTGAACAATTTACTCATCAGCATTCGCTTAGTAGCTTATAGTTGGTAGCCAGTAGACATTTAAGGATATAGTTGCATAGAAAACTCTTGCTACTGTATTTCCCACCCCTAATATTTGTGGTTGAAATGAGTAGCGTTTGTGTCATGTGTCACAGTATCCTTTGCTCCCAGTGGTACTCGGCTCAGATAAATCTTTTTTAGAATTTAGATTCGTTTAATCCAGTACCAAGTACTTTGGATCGCCAACACTTAGCTCACCTGTCACACCACCAAATCACTGAAATTTCAAGGAGACTTCCTGTAGAGGCTTCCAGTGCCTTTCAGGATTCACACTCGCATTTACATCTATGGCAAATTTAGGACTACCAGTTATCCAGTCCAGAGGGGAAACTAGAAAGCCCGGAGATCCACACATTGCTTCCCATCCAACACTTGGAAGGTCAAAGCTAGTTAGCATAGCTTGAAAACGTTTTTTATTGCAGTTCTCTCTGGATTTTAATTTTTGCTCTTGATATCTGAACCCCAGCAGCTACTGCACACTTCTAGCGTTTATTACACATTAGACGAAATGTCATTTTAGATCAGATTTGTTTAGTTCTTAGAGAAGAAACAGTTATCTTCATAGTCTTTACCTTCTCCCCCTTGGGACCAGGAGCTCCTGGTTTGCCATCAGTACCCGGTATGCCAGGCAAGCCCTAGAGGCCAAAAGATTAGGATCAGATAGACATTCTTAGCTGATTATTGATATTTGGTTAGACTGAGAAGTTACTTCAGAGAGTTTGAGTGTTGATATATGTATTAATTAGTCATGTTGTGAGCCTGACACTTACAGGTTTACCAGGTGCTCCATCTTTTCCTGGTGGTCCAAATGCTGCAGAACTCGATGCTGTTTCAGCTGTAGAGGCGCCGGGAAGACCAGGTGGTCCGGGGGGGCCTGGTGGACCTGGTAGCCCAGGTAGACCCTGCATTTAAAAACAAAACAAAAACATTCATTACATTTAGACTTTCACGTCAATATAAACATATATAAACAAAACCCTGAATAATTAAAGAAGTAATGTTTTTTTTCTCACCCGAATAGATTCCAGATCAGGGAATCCTGAGGCCTCCATATCCTCAAAGGTCTGAAATATATTTGAAATTAGGATAATCTTTTAAAAATAATCATTAAGCACTAAAATCAGCTGAAACTCACAGATCTGAATCCTGGTCCTGGGGGTCCTGGAGGACCTGGAGGCCCCCTCGGGCCTGCATGACCTTCTCCACGGTCTCCCTGTAGGTACAACATTTGTTAAGACAAGGTAGGTCTGCTCAGCACATGTGCACATTAAATGATTCTTTTTACAGCTTCTGTTTTTTTCCCTTTCCTGTTACCCTGTCAGTGTATCTTACCTTCTCTCCTTTGGCTCCAGGGTCTCCTGGGGTTCCAGGGAAGCCTGGAGGTCCTTGAGCACCCTGTATTGAGAAAATCATCATGTTAGGGCAGTTGAGATGTTGTGAGATGCCTATTCTGTATTTAAAGTCATACATTATTAAAAACAACTTACAGTTTTTCCATCCTCACCAGGATCACCCTGCAGGATGAATAAAGAATGACATGAGTTAGAAGTCAGACTAGTATGTAAATAAATCAGGTTGGCCACAGATTTTAAATTCAGGGCCCTGTGAGTAGGATGTAGAAGTATCTCACAACAGGAACTACTGACATTCAAGCAAACTGATGTGTTGTCAGATTAATTAGCTTCCTTAGTTTTCTTGTATTTTATCAGTTTGTGTTTTCTCAAGTTTCGGTGCTTTGCACTCTCTCAGCACTATGTGAAAACAATCAGAATAATATATGTAAACATGCAAACCGTGACAGATACAGTAACGTTGGTTCAACAGTAACAGCACATTTGTTGTGTTTGGTGTTTTCTAGTAAGCAAATAATTTTCAGTCCACTAACTGGCTCTCCATCAGCTCCTGGAGTTCCCTGGGGTCCTGGTGCTCCGGGTGGTCCTCTGGGCCCGGGAACTCTCGAAACAACTGAGCCGTCACTGCCAACTGTATACTCGGGTGCAGGTCCTGGAGAACCAGGGGGCCCCGGGGGTCCAGGTGGGCCTGGCTCGCCCTTTACACCTTTATATCCAAAGCCTGCGCTGCCCTAGAAATGGAAAGCATTGTTGCAGGAAAAACATTGAAATGTAATATTCTCACTGTTTGTCTTTCTAAAGTGCATCTGTAACATTCTTCTCAGTGATAACAACTAGAGAAACGATACAAACAGTTAAACTGGATTTGTAAGGCACTATTTTTGGAGCGTGCCTAACATTTAACAGCTAAAACACTACTTAAGAGCCCAAATGCATCACTGGAAATCTGATGCACGTTAAGAGGTTTGAAGCAGAGTTGTTCACCCAAGGAACCATGAAGAGCAGGCACACCCATTTCATTTTAGTAGTTTATTACATTTGTGTTATTCAGTGACCAAAATCATAGAGCTACAAGTGAGCCAGAGGGAAATCTCTTACTTACCTTTTCTCCCTTTGTCCCAGATTCTCCCTGAAAATAGAAGAGACAGTAAAGTCAATGATGAAACAATTTCTCTATTTAGACCTGAAAAAATAGCAGGCATGAAGCACATCCCCAGTGTCTCATACTGTGGCTGAGGTGGCATCAATAGAAATCAAATCCAGAATCAAAACTACATTCACTTAAAAAAAAAAAAAAATGCTACACATGATCATATTTCACTTGTTGCATGTCAGTTTCACAATTTTACCTGTGCATAAATTTAGATCACCTCACTTTATGCATGTGTCTCATGGCAGAAGATAATGAGGTCAGTATAGATTCATTTTGATTTTCTCCTTTTTCCGTCATCATTGTGCATTTTGACTTTCACAATTACGAAATAAGAACACAAATGTAGTTTTCTTTCAGAATAAAATAAAAACTATGACGCATGAAGCTGTCTGTCAGAGTGTTTGTTTCTTTGCCTAAAAAAACTTTCTAGACTATCAGAAGTTAAGCAACCAAACTTTGGACACACGTCCATCTCTGAAGCCCCTGAAGGTTTTCATCTATGTTGGACATTATTATATCACCATGATGCTTGGCAACCACTTAGATGCTAAAAACAGCCCATTTTATCCAACAGCACCTTATAAAAGCATCCTTAACATTTTATTTATATCCACAAATGTTTAATTATATTATATATTATGTTCCCTTGCAAACACAGAGCAATGTGCTAAATGAATGTGATAAAGTACATTAGTTTGCCAGTAGCACAAATAGGCCAATCAACAAAATACAAGACTGTCAGTAATGTGTTGATATTCCATTAGAAATTTGCTGCTCCCTCTAGTGTTCCTTCAGGGTATTTTTACCACATCTTCTTCACTGCTACTCTTATCTTTTCCAACCAACGGTAAGGCTCTTGAAGTGTGGCTCTTAGTAACAGCTTATGTTAAGATAAGGAAAGGATACACTAATGTATGCTTCATTCATCAACGATCGTTTAATGATATAGCACATAGAGTGAGGCCGTGAAAGCGTTTTCATTTAATTTGAGCCCTTAAAACGTGGACAAACATTATTACAACTAACAAAGCTGACATAACTTCATAACCCAATATAAAAATAACAATTTTAAGCCAAAACTCACTATTCCACAGACAAACGGTTGTGCTGTCCAAACATGCATCCTTCAGGAAGCCTTAAATAAGAAACTGTTTCAAGCATCACCAGGTAACTACATTTATTTTATCCACCATAAAGGCTGAAACGTGTCTTTGAGTCCAAACCTTGTCTCCACGGGATCCACTCCTTGAGCTGGAGCCAGAGCCTGCTTCTCCCTTCGGCCCAGCTGGACCCCTCTCTCCCTTCTCTCCTCTGTCCCCTTTGTCGCCCTTTTGTCCTTTAGCCTCGACTGGCCCGAGAAAAACAACAGCAGAGGGGAGAGTCGTTAATATCCTCATGAAAACCTCTCAAAAATGAGTAACGACTGTATCCCACATCCCAAACAATAAACAGGATATTTCCTGCTCCCAAAAGAAGAGGAAGGGGTAAAAGAAAATTACTTTTTGCCTGATGGCGCATGAATCTGTGTGTGTGCACAGCCATAATTTTCAGCCACGTAAAGGTTTAACGGTGGTCACACCCACATGCACAGATACCATGATGATATTCACGTGTGACCGGGTTTGACCTCCAACTGTTCTCAGTTTGAACATGAAGCTGGCCACTTTTAACAGTGCTCACATGCACAGCAAAATGATGCCCACTGCAAGAACATCTTTAATATTCCAGGTTTAAGAAAAAAAAAATAGCTGGAATAAAATAATGCCACAAGAAACAGCATCAGCAGCCCAAGCCAACAGGAAACTATTCCTGCACACGTCTTCAGTTCTCTAATTTGTTTAAGAAATGTAATATTTCTTAAATATTAACTTTTTCCACTTCCTTGCTCATTCACTCTTAGTTCTTCTAAATTTCTCTGTGAATGTAGTTTTTCAGGGCATTACAGCCATCAATGCCCAAACTTTAACATTTCACCACCGTTAATGAATTCAGAAGCATTTACATATATGCATGCACTCCTGTACCTGTTTGCATGTTTAATCCATGTGAAGTCGTGCTTGATAGCTACACATGCCATAAGCAGAGCATCTCGACAGACAGCAGAAGAGATGCAGGATTTGGATGCTTTGTCTGTGTTTTTAAAAACTCCCCTCAACCCACCTTGTGGACCGCGAAGGAAGGGGCTGGACTCCACAGAAAGTGAAACGTACTGGGAGTCCCTTGCTGAACACAATATAAAAATACAGTGTAAATGACGTTTCCAGAATTCCTCGAGTCAGCTTCAAAGTAGTTTTGGGACACAAGCCAAACATTTTGTTCATTAAGCTCTAATAGTAAACAGTGTTTTTCTCCTGTGTCAAAAGTTTTGTTACTGTTTTGACATCATCAAACGTGGGTGCGAAACAGCAACATAATGCTTGCACATGATCTGCAGCCTACCTGAAAATGCAACGATAGGCTTGGGCAGTACTACAGTGAGAGTACACAGAGTGCTTAGTAATGCCAACATATTTTGGCTGAATTGAAGTAATGTATTATAGCACACTACATAAAAACACCATCAGAGGGCAGTATGTACTAGTAAACAGCTGAGCTAAGTAAACTGTGAACGACTTTAATATTAGATGAAGCATAACTAGGAAAGTGTTGATAAACTGGTGATTAAGGTAAGCCAGACAATACAGAAAGCCTGTAGCTTAAGAGGGCAGCACTTTAAAATGGCGAAGTGGCCAACATCACTAACTCCTGGGCAGGTGTCCAGATGCAGGCAGCTGTTAATTCCAGTCACAAAGTGGACCTTAAGACTTTGTTTATGCCATTTGTGCCTTTTAGAGCAATTTGAAAATGATATAGTTTGCTGTGAGATATAGACCTTTCAAGCAGTTTGTGCTTCAGGCTTGATGACTGAACATGTCGCATTTTATTAGTCTCTTACTCTGCACTACTTTGAGTATGTAAGTGTGTTTTTGGACTGTGCACATACAGTCTAAGCCAGCGGTCCCCAACCCCCGGGCCTCGGACCGGGGGTTGTATTTAAAGGCCTTAAAGGCCTTAAAGGCCGGTCCATGAAAATATTGTCGGGCATAAACCGGTCCGTGACGCAAAAAAGGTTGGGGACCGCTGGTCTAAGCCCTTGATTATACTTTCTACAGCTCAGAGTCGGATCAACTGGGGCCAGAGTGACGTAAATTCTGTCATGAGATGGTGAGCACGTGGGTCCATCGACTGACACTGTATCCTTAACAGTGTATAATCAAAGTTTAGCTAACAGATTAGCACGTGCTTCTCTCTCAAATAACATTTCTCCTGACTCTTAAAAAAGAGAAAAAAAAATCATCATGAGGTTGGCTTTTTCCATCTTTTACACACAAAATTATCAATACTGTGATTTTTGATGGTTTCCACTTTCCCCTTTATTAATTAGCACACATACCACTAATGGTGTAGATTAAGTCTTTAACATACAGAAGTCAAATTATTATTTATACTAGCAGTATGTGAGATACTGCTAGTATATGAGGATACATTGTTCTGAATACATTCTCATATAAATTCATTATGAAAGCATTACAAAAAAAAAACAAAAAAAAAAAACGCGAAATGACATTTTTGTTGTTCAATGAGAAATAATTCAGCTTCCATAGTGCATTACTGTTGACCACTAGATGGAGACATTTGTCACCAAATCTGTTCCTAACGAGCCTGGACTGGTTCAGCTATGCACTTTAAATGAATATGACCTCAGTGGCAACATGTGGCGCCATTAAACTCCTCTAGTTATACCCGGCAGGTGAGCCTGTGTCAGCATGTGGAAGTGTAGAGCTTATTTTCTATCTTTGAAAGTAAAATAAATTTATTAAAGACACTGACATTCGCTAGGGGCTGATTCAAAAGAACCTGTAAAAACACGGGGGTTGCATGAAATGATGAACTGAAAATGAATAAATCCAAGTCTGGTGTCACATAAACTCACCAGTCTCATCATTCCTGGTCATCGGTGGGCGCGGAATGGGCCTCAAAGTTGGACGAGCCGTCTGCAGAAAAATAACAACATGACAGACAGAGATGCATATTTAAAAAGGGCAGGAGGCGACATTTGCTGGAAGCTGCACTGATCTTGCTCTAGATTTTATGGCTCAGTTTCCCTCCATCCACTCCGCAGAAGAGCCCTGGAAATAATCCTGCAGCCTGGGAAAAAGTTATCCTTGTTAACATTGATGCCAAACAACCCCAACCAAAATGAGTCATGTTTCGGTACTGCTGTGCCATTCATCTGCATTAATCTTTACAGACCTTGCAGCCAAAGCTCTCTTAATAACTAACAAAACTGTTTCCCAGCTCTACACCAAACCTTTTGAAAAACATGATTAAGTCAACATGTGCTTTCCAAGTTAGAGAACCAGTACCAGATTTTCCTTCATTTACTGGCAAACTGCTTTTGTTGTCAAGTCGACTGTAATTGCCATTTTTGTGTTAATCACTGTCAGACGTCTCATGCCTGGGTTCTGTAGCAGGCCTCCTCTGCTGACGAGGAACACAATCCACAGTGTGTTCAGTCATGCTGTTGCTGCTGCCTTATTGGTTTGGTATTAATAGAAAAATGTTGTGCGAACACTGTTTGATTAGCAAGTGAATTACACAGTTAGGTCCATAACTTGATAGACAAAAACACAACTTGTGTAATTTTGCTTCTGTACACCACCACAGTGGATTTTAAGTCAGTTAAAGTGCAGATGTTCAGCTTTAATTCAAGGCGGTTAAAGGTGTTGTTTGATATGTTGAGATATTGCAGACAGACGGAGGCAGTGGCCAAATCAACAATCTGCTACTTCAGTGCAGTAACACCAAAAGGACTGAAAGACCAGAACAGAATTATTTCCATAATTAAGAAAAACAACTCCAACTAAAATGCACATATCTAATAGAAATAGAAATACAGAGAATGTACAACCAGGGACAAACCAGTGGTTACCAGTGATTAGGCTTTGAAAACAATCTCTTACCATAATGATAAGAAGAGAAAAACATGAAGAACAAGAGAAAAAGCTCCTGATCCATGATTTTCTGTCAGAAAGGCTGGAGGTAGTGTTATGGCATGGTCCATATGTCTATGAAGGATGAATTGTGAAGTGTACAGAGCTATACTCTCTGCTTAGCTGAAACAGAGGTTCACACTGCAAACGGATAACGATCTAAAGCTTACTGCAAAAGCAACCCAAGAGTTTCTCAAGACAAAGAAATCTGATATTTTGGATGGCCAAGTCAGTCACCCGATCTCAACCCCAGAAAGAGCAGACTTTTCAGTTAATAAAGAGCGACCTGAAGGCAGAGAGACCCCACAATTAAGCTATGTGAGCAATAAAGGCTTAGAATTTGGTGTTGTCCATGAATTCTACATTTCAGGCAGTCATTAAATTCAAAGGATTGACAAGGGCAAAGTGTTTGCATACAAGCGTAATTAGACTCATTATGTCTTTGTTTTTGTCCCTTCAATAGAAAAGTTCTGAGCAGGTTTTTTGGACCAAGAAAAGACAGCATGCAGTCTGCTGACAATCCTGTGTTACTAAAATCAGCGGGCCTTAGAGACGCAACAGGAACAATTAAAGGTCAGCTGAGACGAGGTCAGTAACGTTCCCAAAGCAACAGGAAATAATGCAAATACTCCCTCTCTTTGGCTCATTCTTCACCGGTGACACACCTCAGATGGTCACCTGAGGAATTCGAGTGGGGAGTGGGCTGAAGTATGTAAGAGAGGGGAGCTGAAGGGCCAGAGTGATGCCACTGTTGATAATTAACCAGTTTCCTCTGCAGGACAAACTCCTTCCCACTGCGTTTCACAGCACTGACTATGCCAAAAATCTGGCTGGAGCATTATTGACTCCTCTAAATTGCATCAATGTGATGGAGAATACCATACTTGTTCACTTCTTCACCGATCCATCATAGTGGGGGATGTCGGGTGGGAGGCTCATTTAGAACATAGTGTTGATGGATTTGAACCACACGACCCCCTGAATCTAAGAGCAGGTATGCAGCTCCCTCAGCAACGAGCATATCCCACCTCCACAGCAGTTTAGCCTCTTTTTTTTCTCCCCTCTTTTTTTTCTGCGCTCTAAAGAATCACAGAGAAACTTCTTGAAATCTGCACATATTTGTGGTTGGCCTGAGGACGAAGGGAAAACAGCCCGTGTGTTTAGAAAATACAACAAACAGGGTGTTGGGTAACTGAAGAATTAGAATTAGAAAGAAAAAGAAGACGAAATGATCTAAATAGAAACAATTCACCAAAACAATGCTACGTCTCATTAAAAACCCCTCTGCAAAGAAAATGTGAGACACGGTTACAGGTACGATGAAAAAGGAGATTTCTTCAGCAGTTATCTAGAAAGGCAACACATTGGAGTTACAGGTCATTTCACAACAGCGATCTCTGCAGATTTTTTATCTTCGCCATTTAATCTAATTACACGATTTGGGTTCATTCAGTGTATCAGTCTGAATGTTCACCGTTTTCTCCCTTCTAAATATAAAATTGTGTTTTCACAGGTTCACAGTTTCATTGCTGAACAATTGAACCGTTATTTGCATGCTTTCATATCTAAGATAGTTGAAATGGGAGAAACATGTAGAGATAAACCCAGGAATCAAGTCCTCCCGTGAACTTTAGAAAGAAGTGTGCACTTGTTCACATTTAGAATTGATAAAATCCACCGAACTGTTTCAAGCATTATACTCTTCTATACTCACTCCCAGCTGTGACAGCGTTAAGGATGACTGACTCGCTCTCCCATCTATCACCGTGAATTCCAGGATGACAAAATGGAAAGTCTCACTTATACAACTCTCCCTGTCTAACTTGTCCTTGCCCAGACTTGCCTAAATTGCACCAGTTGGACAATTGTGCAGAGTGTAAGTTATACTTTGTGTGAACAGATCATCATCATCAGATGGAAAACACTAACATGTGGACATTAAATGCCAGCTGTTGTCTTTTAAATTGCGTTGTATATTATATGATGCTAGTAAAAGTCTGCGAAGGTGGAAAAAAACCCCTTTGTAAATGCTGCGAGGCACTAAGGCAGTGAATGTAGGCCTGTAATGATGGAGATACTTCCGACTGGAGGTACCTGCCCTCTCCAACTTTCTTTCCACCCCTGTCAGTTCCTGTACACACGTTTGATTGAGAAACCAGTCAGAATAACAAAGCCTTGAGGCCGGGGGCCTCTAACTTGGATCAGATTTAGTCCAAATTGACATCTGGTTTTTCTAACGCTTCACTATAATTGTGAGTGGGAGTGCATGCGTGCAAGCACAGCGCATGGCAGTGCAGGGTGGAGGACTGTGCTAGCTTCTCAGCCTGCGTGGCTATCTGTGAGGGTGGGAAGATGTGAGTGGGTGACTGTGGAATCTATGAGAGTGAGAGAGACAGAAACCAGAGCGAGGAAGACAGAAAGACAAAGAGGTTACAGATAGAGAGGGTGACAAAAAGGGAGGTGATGGAAGTCACTAAAAGATAGTCATAGATGATGCATGCGCAGAACAACATGAGCATGTAAGTGAACCCAGCAATGTTAGTGGGCCATGTTTGATCAATGTTACAAGTTGAACCAGCGATAGCTCCACATACACAGAACGTAACAGCTCAGAACTTGTGTTGCAATTATTGCTTTTTATTAGGGCACCAATAAACAAAAACAAGATCATTTAGAGTAGATTGTCTCTAACCTCAGACTAATGGTTCTGAAGCCTCAGCTCGGTTCACGTTAAATTGGACAGACCAGAGGAGGCGTGCTGCTTTGATCTGTGTGTTGATCTTTGTGGTTACACATGCATGCTTTCTCAAAAAAAGTTTTAAATAATACATTTATAAGACACTCCAGTCCAAAAACATAAGATGATGGATTAATAGAATGAGCTGCCTTAACAGGGACTCTCATCACATGGATGGACCCCAGCTGCATGGTCTTGGATTGCAGTTTGTAGCCCGTGTTCTGCTCTGCTGTGTTGCAGCAGATCTCAAGAGGACAACAGGGATTCTTGTGTCTTGGCCAGCTGTCATCTAAGACACTAGAGTTGGAGTTCATCTGACCACAAGACCAGAATGAATGAGCACCAAAGCAACAGTGGCTCAGCAAGCTAGCCGGCCTGACATGACAGGAAGAGCCGAGCTACCCGGTTAGCTGTGAGTGAATGTTTGGGGGAAAAAAAAAAAAAAGGTCAAGACAACTGTCCACTAGTAAATCAGTAAAGCGTCAGTGATAAAGAGATGATTTCCAAATCTAGTTTGCTAACAGCTGACTTACCTGCATGGCAAGTTAAAGTTTATATGTGGAAAGCATACCTGGTCATTGTCAACCACCATGTAGCCATGCCTTGAATGATGCTCTCCTAAAATTTGCTTTGTAAAAGCTCTGTCCCTAAATGTATATGACAGAAGCAGCTCGTGTTCCAGACATCAACTCAGCAGTTTTTAATCTCCCACGGGGGGATGAGTGGTCACTCACTTATATCGAGTAATCTGAGACATCAGTGGTATATTCAACACTGAGTTTACAGAAGCACAGTCTGCTGCACACACTCCGTGTCCGTGTCTTACTTGATCACCGGCTTGAATCCTCATGATGTATTAATGCATTCTTGTGCACGTTTGATCCACAACTTTAAAGCAAACTCATTAGCATGTTTACAACAGTGCATCGAGAGGAACAAGCAAAATAGCAGTGCAGTCGATCAAGCAGAATGCAAAGTGACAAAGATAAACCTTCATAGGAACTAAAGAAACTCGAGAATACACAAAAGATGTTGCATACCGTCCATGTGTGTTTTTCCGTGCCTGGTCTTGGGGGTCTGGTTTCCACATAACCGCTTCCTTCCCCTGAAGCCTGAGGAGACCGATCATACATTTTTACACTTCATTTTATTGTTAACAAGACCACGCTCTTGGTTTTATTCAGTGCTCTGACCATTATAAACCTGAAAATGTCCTTTTTAACTGTGTGCAAAGAAATGTTCTGATCTGTGGGAGAGTTTTAATAAAATATGTGTGCATATATAGTTTAAGACCAGAAGCTCTTTCCTTCCTGCACTCTCAGTCACAGCGTATGTGGCCTCTTTTGCTCGACCGTGTTGTGTTTATTGTCGTAAATCTAGTATTCGTGTTACCTTCTTGGCTAGGTTCCATGTTACACAGAATTTATGTCTGCATTAACACCAGTAAGTCAAAGGCATACATATTTGCTATACTAATTTAGAGTAAGAAGCTTTTTCTTGATATATCAGCGTATTTGATGTGTTGACAAAACATGGAAACAGCTGTTAGGTTGCCATTGGAGATAAAAGGCACATCCTGAAATGGGAAACCTGTGATTTCCCTCATCTAATCCAAACAACATCTAAAAGATTTGATGACAACAAGCAGTAAAGTTACAAACTTTATTCTGTCAGTAAAGACATGGTTTTGGTGGTCTGGGTGAGCAGAACAGCTGTGAATGTTTTACTAAATAACAGTTAAGGCTGCTGGTGGGCTGCGGCGAGGCACCTGTGTTTGTGTCTGGGTGGTCAGGGTCAGCGGTGCAAAGGCTGCTCTCAGACTTACAGCCCTTACAGATTTACTGGTGATTTTAACCCTATGATGCCCTTTGTATCATATTTGATACTTGATTAATAGTTGCCATAATTTCAAAATGTTATGGACAAAACTCTCTTTTTTTGAATAAAATTAACATTGTTGTTAACAAAAAGTTGCCAAAAACACCCGATGTATCAAATGCGATCCAAAAAGTTTGAATTTTCTGGCTATTTTTAATGGGTAGGGTCTTACTGGTTTAAGTGAAGTTGCATACTGAACTAAAGCATCAGTTTTAAGTAAAATGGCATCACTTGTGTTACTGTAGGATATCTCTTCCACGATTTGGATGTTCTTATTTCCTTTAAAGTCATGATTAACTGATTCAAAACTGCAGAAATAAATCATTAGCTTTGGCTATGTCGATGATTAGCTGTCCATTCTTCTGCACACACATGCTGCTGGCTGTAACTAAAAAAAAAAAAAACAAAAAAAAAAAACCCTGATTTGAGACTGTGATAAACATAATGTAGCAACTTTTTGGAACTGGCCATTTTGCCAGTTCCAAAAACTACTCCAGAGACAGTTTTATCTAGCTAGATAGCTAGCTAGCTAATTATCCCTGATATTAGTGGTTAAAAGACACAAGTGGTCAAAAGCTGGGACATTTCATTTTTTAACTGGGATTCAGCACATCCTTTAAAAAATTCTAATGTGCAATTATCTGAATTTGAAGCCTTGAAAATTACTTAAAACTTTTTATTACAGATCTTAAACATGGATCGGATTGGATTACTTTTACAAAGTGGAATTATCGTCAGCTTAATTTTTTTTAAGCCATACTGTCCAAACTATAAAGGTAGCTGCAAAATGACAAAAAGCGCGAATGCAAACTGTGCAGCCTGTTTAAATTTTACCACATACACATAGCATACGTTTGTCTGCCTCCTTATTCAAGAGTCGTCACAACAGGTAGCAACGTATATTTGATTTGACAGATTTCTACACAAGGTGGACTTCGTGATTGAACACCAAAAAGATTTGGGTCTACTAAGTAAATGTGTAGACCACTGCAGTATGTAGCCACTATTGTGCACACATAGCTAATGCTGGTAGCATTGCATTTATCGGAGTTGAATCTGGTGTGAGCACAGCACCCTTTTTGTAAAAAAATCAAACTACTCATACAGTTTTAGAGGAAAACTTCTGATCAAATAATATTATACAGATATTTGTGGCACTTTGCACCATGCATAACCTTGAGTGCATGATGCCAGGTTAGTTTGCAGGCCAATGTTAACACGTTTAAACTGGCATTCTTTTGACTAGTCACCAACCTGGAAATATAGAACTCTATGTGAAAACAGCACTGAAGCTTTACCTCTGTAAACACTTTCCTGACGAGTTTATGCCATATGTCCAGTGAGTTCAGTGTAGTGAGTCATCCAGTATGTATGTGATAAGTTGTTACTCACAATGTCTGAGTCATCTTCATCCTCCTCACAGTGCCTGCTGGCAGCAAAGGGATCTCCCATCACCCTCAGCTCACCGATCACGCCCTGTTGCAAAACATGAATGTGATATTTAAATGTTTGATGATAAAAGAACAGTACAGCTCTTCTTCTCACATATACAACATGTACAGCTGCCAGAACATGTATGCTTTTTCTTTTTCAGCAGTGCTTTGATTTAATTATATTTCTTAGGGAATTCCCCTTCCACAAAATCAGAAGGGCTATTGATGTCTCTGTCTGTGAAGTACCACTATCTGTGCCTCAAACACACCATCTGATACGTTCCCACACAGGACACTCACGCAGATAGCATTTTTACCGTCTTCCTGCCTATGAAAGGCTCATTAGCTGTGGATGTCAAGGTGGTCTCTCTGCTGTGGCATTATTTGAAATCAACTCTTCTTCAGGACACATTTATGTCCCAAGAAAAAGAGTCAAATGGATTTTTTAAGAGAACTTTGAAGATAAAGAGCTCTTTGACATTTTAACCCAGTCTCTCCACAGACCTTTAAGGCCTATTCAGTAACATTTCCATACTGTGGATGTCCCTTTTAATCTTTACTGCTTCAGATCTTCACAATAAATCTTCGATTTTGTTCACATGAAGGTCAAAACTTGTCACTACAGCATGTGTTTTCTGATGAACTTAAAATACTTCTAAATCCCCCTTTAGAATGGAATGTCCATTTTCAAAATGCAAAATATAAATATTTAGATGTTTGCAAGAGCTTGCCAAGTCTTGATTTGATTAAGGAAATTAAATTCACAAGACCTCTGGAGCCCTAGGGCCATGCTCAGGTCAACACATAACACATGGGGGAAAAAAGTCCTCAGATTATTAAAAAAAAAAATTGCTTTAGGATTATATATATGCTTTAGGTTTTCAGCAACATATGCAGCTATCGTCAGTCATCAAAAAAGACTGAAACTAGTGTTACAGCTGAGAGAGGAAGCGAGAGATGATTTTCCAACGGGGAGATGGCTCGAGATTTAAGGGGTTTTAACCAGATGGGACGTAGTCGTTTGAAAAAAAAAAAATAAAAAAAATACATATTTAACAAAATTCTATCTTGTGTCATCATTTATGTAACAATTTCATTAAATAGATGCTTTTAGCAAATGGATGTGTTAGACAAATTATGTTGAATAGGGAGCAGTAGTTATCGTAGATGGTATATGTATGCACGATGCTGTCATGCTTTTCAGATATATTTCAAAGTCAGTTCAAAGTATCTAAGGTGGAAGACTTTTATTTCGTATTAACAACATTCAAAGTGTGATCCTTTTTAATGGGGTCCTGAAATGCATGTTACTATTTTCTTTGAGAAGACAAACTGATGAGAGCATTTTATAAATGTCTAAGCTAACTCAGCTAGACTACACACCTTTGGAGGGGGAGTTGCAAGTTCAATTCCCACCCGGTATCCAATAAGGGTCCTGGCTAGACCCCCCCATGCTAGAACCAAGGCCTGGATTGGCGCCCCTATGTCTGCAGCCTTTCCGCAGCTCAGACACAAGCATTTCACTACATGTTGTACTATGTACTATATATGTGACGAATAAAATTTGAAATAAATTTGTGTTGGTGTTCATATACCTCGAACTTTTAAAGAAGTGGTGCAGCATCTACCAAAAAAAAAAAACCACGGCACAGATTGGGTATCAAGAATCATGTAAATCTGCTGATGTTGGTACGGACTATTACATTTCTGGTATTTTGATGTCCGTGCCCAAAGCACTGTTCAAACGTGATTGGTCAATACCACAACAGAGCGAAACCAGAAAGCTTCCAATATACAAGTCTGAGAGCAGTCTGGGACGAAGCTGAAAACAGTGCCCATATTAGGCAAATCATTTTTTCCCTTTTTCTACATTTCTTTTCCATTTCATTTTATTTTCTATCAGTTTCCAGGGGAACGTAGGAGATTCCGTCAGTCTTGATGGATGTAACCTTAAAAAAAGTGGAAACTGGGACAAAAATGATTCACTTATACTTATATTTGTCTATTAATATAAGGTCATGCATGACTTTCATGAGTGTTGTCTATTAAGTGTTGAAATTCAAATCTAAAAAGCTTCCATTTTTTATTTTCCAAAAACAAAATTGCACAAATGAAAGATTGTTCCACACCCAAAAGGGTTTGGTTGAATTTTCAAGGCTCAAAGATATAAATCTTTTCAGCGATTTTAATCACAACTGTTACTAAAGAGTGCATAATTGCATTACATGGATATAAAACAATCACTCTGCAATGATTGATTGAGATCTCAAGTATGAAAAATAACTCAGTTCTTATATTGAGTTCTTCTCTTGTTTTTTGTGTTGATAAACTTAAAATAATTGCATGCTCAGAGGCAGAATGAAAAATGTGTAATTAGCCATGGTTGAACTACTGCAACCCCTGCAGCTAAGGCCGCCAGTTGTGGTGGCCAACCGCTGAGATGTACACCAGTCAAACGACTGGCACTAATTACATCACTACTGTGAGGTCTTCCAATTATTTGTAGAATCTACAGATGATGGTGATGCAATACAGACATTAATGTTTTGGTTTGGAGTAGGCAATTTGAGCAATTGGATCACATGAGAGTTATTCAGCCAAAATGTTTCACAGGATAATAACAACCGTGAAAAATCAAAACACTGATCTGCACCTTTCCAAGACTTCAAGCAGCAGGAATCCGGTCTCTAAGTTAATGTTGGTTGTATGAAGCTTTAGTTTAGGAATGATTTACTCGATGCACAATCGACAGATAGTTCTTTACCTGTTATGAAAGGATATAAAATAAATGTATTGTATTTACTATATCAGTGTTTTGGTTAAAAAGGTGAAAGCCTGTTTACACACCAGGAACTTATCAGGATCAGCTCCTCCAGCCTGCCCAACAAAGACGCCAGCACCACTTTCCAGCTCCATGTTCTCCGCTGACCTCTCGATGTGCACCACCTGAGGGTCTGTGTCACAGTTGAAGTAGAATAGCACCTTGTCGTCCATCACTGCGAGAGAAAAACGGGTCCAGGTGTTCGTCATAGAGGGCACGAGGAACCTGGCTGCCTCAAAGGACTCAGCTGACTTGGGCTTGGTGTAGTACAGAATGACATTTTGGTTGTTGTCCTGCACGGCTGACAGTTTAACTCCCACATGCATGATACTCTGCCGAGCATCCGTGATGGAGAAGATGACCCCGCCCTGGTTAGTGGTGGGTTTCAGGTTGAACATGAGGGAAAACTCTCGATAAAATGGGTTTGGGAGGTGGGCGCGTGCCAGCTGGCCCGTATTGGCATCCGGTCCAAAGACAAAACTAGGGGTGTTGTCTGGTCCGTAGATTTGGGTGATCTCACTTGGAGGAGGATCTCCAATCAGTTGTAGCAGGGAGACTCCACTGTCTTCTAAAGGGAAAGAAACAAGATGTCAGGCCACAGTGAACATAAAACAGCAGAGGTTTAAAGGGAGGGCAGCATGGCAGAGTAGGGGTTAGACCAGGAGGCTGTTGGTAGGTGACAAAATGTGGATGTTTGTGATGGAGGCAGGACGGGTACTTGCACTAACTGCAGCTGAATCAGTCACAATGCCCTTTGTAAAGAAATGTATGTGAGAATGTAAATAGTACCACATCTGCTTTTAGCGAACCATGTTTTTTTTCCTAGAAGCCCGGGGAAAGCAGCTACTCTCAAGGGACCACAAACAAACAAGTGATTTTATTACTTGAAAATATGGAAAGCAAAACATCTGCAAAAAAGGGAAAACGCGAGAGTAAGAAAAGGAACACTTTCTCAGATGTTGGAAGTCCTTCACACCAAAAGCAAGAACTTCCTAAAGTAAGAAAGAAAGAAACCTTGTCAAGGTTTATCCTCTACTCATGCACAGTGGAAGTAGATGAAAAGCCTGATGCAGACTATGGAACAGATGAATATTTATGCATCATTCCTGAAGACACTGACAAAAAAAAAAAAAAAAAAAAAATACGCAAAACTTGCATGACATCTGCTAGATGTCATGACTTGGGGCACTGCAGGGACCAACAGCTGGGCCTCCGGCATGTCTGTGCTGACACTTCCATCACCCTTGGCGACACTGGCAAAGTCAGTGCATAATTTAAAGTGTTTAAGAAAGGCAAAAAAACACAAAGAGCAATGTGTATTCATGCACATGCACTGTGGACACAGATTTTGATGTACTGACATCAAACCAAACCTCTGCTCTTTGACCCCCCCCTCCCCCTCTCAGAAAAGAAAAAAATGTTTCCATGTGTTAAAAACAGAATGACCAAAATGACTGTTTTTGGACAACATGTGATGCATTTCTGATTCTTTGAAGAAATGCTTTGGTTTACCACCTGGTGACTAACGAGCAAGCTCTATCGCTCAGTTCAAAGCCTCTCCACTGCCTGAGTGCTGGAGATCAATTGGATCAGCACTTGGCTGCGTCGAGAGCCTAAACACACGAGATATTTTATCTGAGCCGAAGATCCCGCTCTCTTCAGTACCATCATAAACACCAGTCTGAATATTCTGCTCGCTATCGGAGGACTGCAGATGCATTTATTTGAATCTGCGCTAACAGAGAACCCAGTCAAGCTGCAACAGGACGGCAATAAAAATACCTTCCATTGTGCAGTTCCTCTCTGCACCAATCAGACTTCTAGAGCAGATTTATCAGTAAGCGGATGAGACCATTAATAGATGTACACCCACATACATATATGCATGTCAACAGACATATAAGTAAAGTCCAAAGACTGATAAATATTTTACTGGAGCCTGGGAAACACTTAGTCATAGCCAAAGTCGTTATATCATTTAGAAGGTTAGAGGCCATATTACAAGCCAACACATCAAAACTAATAATTAAATTTACAGTCCCAAAACAATCAAAACTTCAGTATAACCTATCCAAATTAAAAAAGAAAGGGAAACAAATCACCACAGGATGACACAACGGCCTCCAGGTTCAGAATAGCTCAGACGTAGGTCACTGACTGTGGTTTGCACCCGGCTGACCAGATGTTTACTCTGATAAAATCAGAATGAGGCACCTTGAGGGTCCCTTCAGTGGGCATGTGCTGACATGTCTGATCCTGGCTCGCTGTCTTGTGCATAATCGGCCAAGGTGGTTTTAAACAAGGTAAAAACCTTGTAATAATTCAAAGGGGAAATTCATCATTTGGGGAATTGTAAATCCTTCTGCTTTGGGGGCTGAAGCAGTTGGAAGTTGAAGTTTTAATGCAGCCACAGTGCATAACTGAACATGCAATGTATTTTTTCTGCAAGCAAAGTGGAGAGAATGATTTGATTTGTGTGCAAATTAAAATGAAAGGTCTGTAATAAGGTGGAATGTGTACACAGATCCTGGTTGTCCTTCTGCATGCAGCATTTCTCTGCAGTGCAAACTGAGGATATGACCTCACCGTCTACTCCTCGCAATTTCTCTTTCACCTGGATTTCAAGCATCTGATTTTGATTCCTTCAACAAATAAAAAGCCGACATGCTGTTGGAACGTGCACGGACTCAAGCTTTCCAAACCCCTAATTAGCAAAACATCTCACCTATTAGCAATGAGCTACACCGACCAGATGTGCACTGTTTTGAGCCATGCTTAGAATTGACCAAAAAAGGTATCTCCATTTACAGCCTGATGCAACTGTGATGCAACTGTGCTTAATGCCATTTTGAGACTTAAAATGTCATCTTCAGATCTAAAGCTGATTGAAAGGTTTGACCTGCTTTAGGATTTCGGAGGAATGCTTTTACTGAATCTGGTTTAGTGTGTCTGCATTGTCAGCAAAGAGCCAACCAGCCATTCCATCTCAGACATCAAAAGTTGTAGGGGGCCTCAGAGAGGTCACCATTAGCATTTTAAGTGCAATCTCAATTCAGGTTTTCTTAAATAGCTTTTGTTAAACGCTGACAGCTTCAAGGTCAGTTGGGAATAGAAAAGATCTGTGATGAATGGAGCACTGCAGGGTTTACGGTGCTAGTTTGTCTTGTCAGGAAGACCGCTTACTGACTCCTTTTCATTTCTTCACATTTCAAGACTGTGTAGCAGACTTTGTGGTACCCTGTTGATAAAGCTGTATATACACTGTCAGCTGTACGCACAGCTTTGGAGAGCACAAGATCCTGTATAAACCATAGGAAAACATTCAAACATCTGGACAGTGAGAAACTGTGCGGCTTTTCCCAACAAAATCTATCAGCATTTAAAACATCCCTTGAGGCCTGCTGAGACGAGGGCAACGATCTCTCCCCTCAGTGTACAGAAGGCGGGGCAGTGGTCTGACCCTGTGTTTGGAGGGTCAGAGTTCATCTCTGAAAGCTGAAATTACAGTCCCATGATTTTTTTTTCACCATAATCCTTGTGCATCTGCAGCATGAATCATATATGTGAAGCAATTCTCAGACAATTTAAAGTAAAGCAAATTCATTGTGCTCACATGATCACATGATTAGTGGAAGTTTAATATAAAGCTACACTGTTGCTTAAAACAGTATAATATTTGTTTTAATCTTCTTCTTGTCAAGGATGTGTGATACTCTGAGAACTGAATATAGAAAAAATGTAGTTTTAAGAAATAAAAACTAAACACTGATTTTTTTAGATAAATAAATAATAAAGTTCTTTCCGTTCTGCAGTCCACTTTTTGTTTTTTTAAATCGAATGCTCAGAACAAACCCACATCACAGTCCAGGAAGGAGATTTTATCCTGACTCAACCTGAAGACTAAACTTTAATTCTTAAACCACAAAAAGGAGCACGAGTCTACCGCCAGCTGTGAAATTCACTCTTTGGAAAAGAGCTCAGTTCTCTACCTGTGAAGTAACATTTTTTTAGGCAATACACCCCCTTGCCCCATGCTGCTGTGTTCACAGATGTGTTTTTAACTACAGAAAGAAAAAATGCAAATGCATCTATACAAATGGTAGAGACAGCACCTCAAACGTGCACAGGATATAAAGGCTGAACATCTGTATCGATGTCCGTGTCAGCTTGATGTTGATGGGACAGTTTAAGCCAACGTATTGGCCTTCTTGACTATGACATATGAGCCCATCAGAAGAAAAGACATTTATGGATATAATATTGAATTAGATAAATGTTCAAATATGGCGTGATTAGGATCTAAATGGTTACCAGTACCAGAATTTCACAATTACATCACTCTGGTAAACCATTAAAAACTTTAAGAACTTAACCAGCTTAAAACATCCCGGTGCTTTTGTTCTTTTCTGTTTTTGCAACACAGCCTCATTCTCATTTTGTACTTCTGCAACACAAACCAGAGGGGGCAACGGGTTTCTGCCAGCAAAGAAGTCAGACCACACTGTGCCCATAATTGGCACCCTCCTGAGAGCCAAGTCAAAAGGATTCCCTGGCAAGCAGTGTAGTGAAGGACTGCAGCCAGCTTTGGGCCTTCCTCTTGTCATAAGATAAAAGATCAGTCTCAGCTCAGTAGAACCATGGTGTTAAAAAACATACAGAACACCAAAGAAAGTACACTAGCTAAAAAACATAAGCTAAAATGTTCACAGACATTTAAGTAGCATTAAAAAAATGTAACATGTAGGTCTGTCAGCACAGCCCATATAGCTTGTAATTTCCAATTAAAACTCCAATCTGCTAGAAATTAATATGGTTTAATATTAAATATTAACTAAGCTTGACCTCCAGAGCCTGACATGGTTGACTGCTCGTCTTTTAAGCTGGGAAGAGACAACCATGCAAATCATCACTAAAAAGGCCAAAAAGCAAAACAATCTCCCTTCCCACCACCCTCAAACAAACTCCCCACATGAATCTCCCACTTGGATGCATCAAGACTGCAGTCAGTAATTTTAGTGTATAAACTGTTCCTTTGTATTTTTCAACCCATGCCAGCGGGTCTGTCTTCAATTCACCCAAAATATCAACTGACCAAGATGGCAGCATGTCATGAAACATTTGCATTACAAGTTATATTTGCATGACGTAGGAGTGTGCTGGTTTAAGGCCAAAGACAAAATAGAGAGTATGACTGCCCTCCTCCCAAACTTGAAATAGTAAAGTGGGGTTGAGGCTTTTCAGATACTACATGTAAGGGTTCTGTTTAGAAGCTGAAAGGCTTGTAAGCGGGTGGGCACAGTCTTAGAGAAAGATACTGGGCAAATAAACTGAGAAATAAAGCACTTTTGGCTTTAAAATATTTTCTTGGCCAACTACAGTATGTGTAACCTTAAGCGTGAGCAGAGGTTGCTGCAGTAAGAAACAGGAAGAGACATATTTAGTTATTAGGAAGAATATAAAATCAGTAGGCAGTTGTTTACAGGCAGCATACAGTAGAATTTAAAGTTTATTACATATCCTTAGCACTTGGGCCTGAGGAGACCTTATAGGTGCAGTAGTAACTCTATAGCAGAGCAATGCTTTTCATCACATCTATTCAGCCATCACTCTAACCAAGCCATGTGCTTCAGTGGATTGTTGTTTGAGTCATACCAGATGGTGTTGACTGCAGTGGATTTCAATCTATCCCAGAATGATTTAGAGTAACTGAGAGCACTCCGGTTATACCTTGAGGCAACTTTCACAAGCAACGTGCATGCTTGGGTGATGAACTATCTTCTAGAGTTGCAACAAAACCTGCCCTCAGGATATAAAGGCGGCAACACGATTGATCCTTCCAGTGTGCTGCAGGCCTGTCTGCATTTTCCGCATTACTGTGTCTACAACATAAAAAAAAAAAAAAAAAAAAAACGTGCGTGCAGTTGTGGCAGAATAATGTTTTAAGTTTGACGACCAGTAAAGGTACCCTAATCCTCCATGACTTCATTTGCCAATAAACCAAAAGTAAAACAGTTCAAATTTATTTAGGCTCATGTGTGTCACTTAGTCCAGGAACCAGAAACATCTTGTTCACTCATGTCTGTCAGTGGAACAAGCTGCCACAGAGATACTGAAGCTGTAAAAAGACAATCTTGAACTCCCAGAGATACAAACGGAGAGTGTTGGGAGACAGGGCAGAAGTGCAGCATCAGGGAACAGGCTTAAAAAAAGATTTTCTAGAAAAAGATCATCTAAAACAGAGTTAGACTTCTCTCATGAATCGGTGCCCACTGGCAATAAACAGATGAGTCATTTTTTCCAGCATTTCATGGTCACTAGGGGCATGTGCTGCACATATCAGTCTTTGAGAGGACAGCTGAGTGCACACTGGTCCTTATAATCTTTAAATATTTATCAGCAATTTGTAACTACTAGTTAATTTTGGAAATTTACACCTTAACACTTCTGAGTGACAGAACCATCCTATCATTTGTTATAAAATATTGATTATAAAGCACCTTTTTAAACTGTACAACCACAGCAGGAGAGAAACAGCTGCTTTTAATTTCTTTTTATTTCCACCTTTAAAATGTTTTACCTGTTGAAATATGTCATCCTAGTCCAGCTCTGAGAAATATTTTGTTCTAAAAATTAACACATATCTAAAAAGCACTGATGCAAATATGAGTGCTTCCCATGCATGCCAAGCTACTGTGTCCATTCCTAAACAGACAAACGCACATCAAGCCTGCAAACCACTCACTGTCAAAAGAGATATCCTGAAGTTATACATTTCATGCACATATCAGAGAAGATTGCAGTTTGAGATGCATTCATTAGAGGCATCTACAATTTCTTTAGTCTTGCAATGCAATGCAAAAAAAAACCAAACAAGAAAATTATATAAATATGATTAAATAATTATAATTACATTTGTATTTTATGCCAGATAATTGCAAAGCCAAAATAATCTTTTTGCAAACTTGTGTTTTCTTGTGTTACAGTCTGGCTTTAAGAGCTTTGTAGTTAAACTGGAAAGGTTGTTTGAATTGAAATTATTTCATCTGGCAAGACTGAGTATATAATTACATATAACATTACTGTAATAAAGCAAATAATTATCATCTGAGCAAAGTATTACCCTTTGAATATAATTACTCAAAAAGGAAATACATGCGTGTGTGTGCGTGTGCGTGTGTGCGTGCGTGCGTGTAGGGGGGTGCTGGTATACTATGACCTTCACAAGGTAAGTCACATACAGTACACAGCACATATACATGCAGCAGGTTAAACAAAGTACTGGCATCATGCTTGTTAGACTTCAAGTTAAAAATAAGCATGCATGCTCTTTTGGGATTGGAAATCATTAATTAATACATCTCATTCGGTGCTGACAGGGACAAATCTTGATTAATTGAGAGGGTATTTCATAGTGTGAAAAATACCAGACGGACTCGGGGGGGGGGGGGATTTTCAAAACTGGTTCAAAATGAATCCCAAAACAAGATTCATTTGAGCCAGTAATTACCTTTCTGGTTACTAACTGACAAGCACTGATACCCATCCTCCTCCTCATCAGGTAGAGTGTGGCACTCCACAGGGAGGCGTCCCTCATCCAGGAGCGTCCAGCAACTGTCCCGCAAGACTTCGCAGAAACTCTGGCAAGGTAACACAGGCAGCGGGGCCAAAGAGCCACACTTTGGTACCAAAAGGAGGCAGAAAAACCACTCCACGCTATGATGGCATTGAGAATTCAACAGCCAAGCCCACTCATTGAGGAGTGCTTGGATTTCCTCCACACTGCTCTGGTTGAAGTAATTGGGCACGGCAAACCATTGCCCAGCCATGGAGGAGCAGAAAGGAAGAGCGGTGTCTAGCAACAAGCATTGTGGGGATTCAGCATCCAGTGCTGGCCTACCTACTTCTGGTTGTTTTATAGTTGTTGGCTCACTAAATGCAACTGTCTGGCTGAACAAGATTGCTTGGTTCAGTTTTCTCCCACTTATTGTTGACTGAGTAGCATCTGGGATGTGACCAGTTTTCTGGCTTATTATCAGTGATTTATTGGGTTGGAAACCTATAGATTTTAAGGTCGTGTCTGGGCTCTTGCTATCTATTTGTGGTTGTCTTTTAGAGATTTGGGGGGATTTAGTTGTAGAAAGTACCTGGCTGGCAAGTGGAGCTTTGCTACTCTGTAATGCTTGGTTAGATACAAGTTCCTGGTTGGCCATAAATTTACCACTTAGTAAATGAGTAACTTTCACTTGTTGATGATCCTTAGATACCTCAATAGTCCTTAGGGAGTTTTTACTTACATTTGGGGTTAATAAATCTTCTTGGCTTTCATGTGAATATATTGTTAATTTGAAGTCAATAGCATTTGAACTAGAACTACTGTTTCCATTTCCTCTCATGTTGTTGGTGGACTCGAGACTTTGCCCTGATTTTGTGCTGCCAAGACTGTGGTCCTCATCTCCACTAACTCTACCATCTAACTCACTACGAGTGGTGTTCGTTACTGCACCTTTTTGAGCCTTGTGGGTTCCAAATCTTGACCGCCAGCTAGTTTCAGTTCCTGTTGCAGACCCATTGTCTGATGCAGATTCAGATCCAAAGTCAGATCTGAGTCTTGTTACATTTCCTGTAAAGGTTGAGTTTTCAGATCCTTCAGAACTTATTGGTGAAGATGTGGCATTACCAGGTTTACTTGTGTGTGATGACATCCCTGTAGCAAAGTTTTCTGACTCATGTTCATTCTCTGGTTCTGTTGTTGACACTACAGTGTTCAGTTTAAGAGCCTCAGGAGTCTGATCCAAAGTCTGCACAGCTTTTTCCATCTGATGTCCTTCATCAATGATCTCTTCTCCAATTTTCGCAATAGTTTCTGACGGCGGTTCTCCACTACCTGCTGGACTGCCAGATCCCTCGGGGTCTACCGCTGGGGCTGAAGTTGCCGTATCAGTCCAGGACCACAGCCAGGCATCAGAGTGGACCACCCACTGAGCCAACAAAATCACAAGTCCAAACTGGATCCTCATCATAACCATAATGTCAAGTCTTAACCACGTCCACCGGCTCGATTAGACTCACAGAGTGAACTATGACATGTCCACACAGTCACTCCACACACACTGTTCCTTCAGCTCTGTCTCCACACACACTTCACTAAACAGAGAGGAGAACTGAAGAGGAGTGCCCCATTCAAAAGAGTGCAGAGAGGGAAAGCAGGAGGAGGAGGTGGTCTCCGTATTGGCTGCTCTGGCAATATTTATTCCCCTAACTCCTCCTTCCCCCTTTGTCACAGCAATGAAAAGCGAGCTCTCCTGCTGACTGATACCTTGAAATTACAGCAGCCTTTCTTTTCACAGCACAATACTGATGCTTTCTAGTGTTTTACAGACAGGAGCAATTTGCCCTTGATTTGTTTGCTTTGTTAATCTACGATAATATGAAAACCACAGACTTACAAAAAAATGTAAACTGTGGTCACATTCCAACAAAAAGATTCAATTATATACTGTTACAAGCTTGAAGCACAAGGAGCGGTGCTGAGATCCCTCAAAGACTGAATTAGTCTTGGTCCATTGCCACCAATTACTGAAAAGAAGTTGCCATTGTGGTGTGGTTATATTTAAATATAATCTAACAACAGTCATTTATTGGCGTAATTGTATTTTTGTATGGAATATCTGCAAATGACAGTCAACACTCATGTAAAGAAAGAGAAATGTCCATTTTTTGATCATCAATATCATCTCTTAATGCAAATTCTTGGTCCCATTTTCTTTCACAAGCTTAAGCGCTCCAACATAACCCATTGTCTGTGCATTAGTTGTCCCTTGTCTACAGGGTGCCCTTTATTGTTCAGTCTAGTTTACACGCCTGTTTTCAGTGCTCTGTGGGTACACAGTAATCCAAGCCTCGCTTTCTTGTCCAGACTGGTTTCTCATATCGCCGTGGGGCTAGCTGACAGAGACCCTCGACGACTGCTAATGGGATCTTAGCGATAAAAGGAACAGGAGGTTCGCGTAAGTGTCTTTCTTATACATTGGCATTTGCTTGCAGCTTCAGTTGCTGATAGAAGGGAACTCAGAAGGTCATCTCCACAAAGCTCCCACATGGATATAGGGAAATGTCTTGACACAAGCTTGACAACTTTACCCTGTAACACTCTCTCTCGGCCTGGGGTCACTAACGATGCAACTGACCCCTGCCTGCAGGATTATGTGTGTCTGGACTATAGAAACTGGGGCCTACACTAACTTTTTCACTGGTAACACTGGTGCTACAAAAGAACAAAATCCGCCTCGTGATCAATGTGGCTGATACGTGAGGCAGCAAAACTCAAATCAAACATTTCTATCATTATCTGATTTTATCATTTAGCAATTTCAACTATAACTATAAAACTCAATTTTCGCTCTACTTATGTGTAGCTGGTGTGGTGCAGTACTAAATGACAATGTGTAGATCAAGTGTAAACATTACACAACCCTAACCTTTGGTGGGGAAAATAAAGGTGGCTGCACTTTAAAATTAAAATTTTAAGGGAGTGCTAAAGACAAAATCCAGGAATTAAAAAAAAAAAAGCAAAAGGTTACACAAACTTTGGCATCAACAGGGATTTATTTCTCAGAACTGATTACTTGAAGAAGAACATTCATCCATTTCAGCACCGATCTTTCATTAGAGCTGGAGCTCAGGCTGGAACCCACTTTTCTGGGAACCAGTAAAATTTCCTGTCCCAAAAGTTTATTAATGGGCATCATTCACGAATATGGTTAATAGAATTTGATATACATTTTCTGTTCTGCACTTTCTCACATTTCCACTTCTTCCTCCCTTCACCTGCACTTCCTTTCATCATAAGTGTCTGAGCCGGGACCTTTCATTGGCAAACAGTAATCAGCTCCAGACTGCTTCATCTTTAAAACACTACAACAGCTTAAATGGAGTCTTTCACTCTTTCATCATCACCTGCTAAGCACATGAAAAAGAGATAAAGTACTACTTTCAACCACAGTGACGGTAGCTGGCTGTGCCAGCAGCGCACCGAAACAGACTAATGATCATCATGCACTTGCACAAATGCAACCATGTGAAATGATGACACTCACACCGCCACAGCCTGGAGCCCTGGTAGGGTGTCGCCAGGAGAGCAATGCAGTCTTCAACAACACACATTTAATGCAAAAGAGTTCATAAAAACTGCAGAAGATGGTTAGCTCTGTTAACTGGTTACCCTATGAAGGAAAGTATGGCTCATTTCACACAAGGCCAAGCTTTTTCACGCTCTCCATCCTGATGAAAGGAAACTGTTATCTTTAATCATATGATAAGAAGTTTGCTTCTGACTAAATAAGTCATTGTAATAAGATCTCTTGGGGGAAATAACTCCCAAGAGTAAGTAATAAAGCACACAACAAGACAGAAAGACGAAAGAATACTCTAAAGCAAGTTAAAAAAAAAAAAAGAGATTTTATCTACTTTATAAAAAGATAACTGAGTTCTGAGATCTCAGGCTCAGCGAGAGAGTTCCAGAAGGGCTGAGAAGTTGAGTTTTAAGCATTGCTGTGCAACATAGTCCATCACAAAATGTTTGAGAAAGAACTGAAAGTCTGGAGCACTGGTCAGACAAGCTCGATAATCTTTGTCTTGCAGACCGAAACAAACCCAAAGTTTGTGGTAGCGACTTGGGTAATAAACTTTAGGATAACAGACTCGAGTCTTGTGATGGATAATGATTAGCCTAAAGCTTGTGAAATCCTCTGTCAGGCATTTGGTTGTGCATTTCATTATGGTGTAGCTTAGACTTTGCAGAGGTTTTGCTGTTTTCCCCCCCAGAAAAGTTAAAGTTAAATTTCACCTGATCTCAGCAGAATAGAAACATCATGTGGTACATTCCCTGCCTAATCCATCCATCCTTTACATGAACAAAAACCTAGCTGTTCTGCACGATCCACAGACTGTGGGGAGTCCCATCAGCAAGATTTGCTCTTTTAACTAAGCCCTTCATGTTTCCTTTACTAAATCAGATAGCAAACCTCCGTGACGTTCTAAATCCAGACAAAAAGAAGAAACTGCGTGAAAGAAAATGAATCACCAGGAGTGTTATTTTTCTAAAGATGACAATGAATTACCCCGGGGGTGTATTCACGTGTGAGTCAAAGACACGCAATTTAAAATTTTCATTAGAACTTGCCAGACAGTGAAGCATGTCCAACGTGTAATGCATCCCCCCCTGTCAAGATTGTCACTACAACTAGAAAATGATTAGTTTATTTATTAAAAAATGCAGGACATTCATCAGTCTTTTAGACTAAGGCAATCTCCATATCATGAACATGTGAAAATGTGGAAAGTAATATGTGTCCTTAATATGTGTACAAACCATAAAAGAAGAAGACAACACAGCTGGAAGCTAGAAAACTACTGCAAGACTAGTTAAAGTCTTTTCATTGAATGCATCAGCCCTACATTTAAACAGCAAAGCCTTTAAGGTGCACTAGAATGTGCCAAGAATAGGCGTGCACGTTAAACAACCTGTTTTTATACATTTAAAAGGAACAGGTGCTTTTGACAAAATTGCTTATGTGTAGTTGAACCATGTCTTCTATAAGAGCCGCCCTTTAACTAAGGTCACGTGCTGGTCGCCTGCACACTAACAGAGGGTTATAATCTCAGCAGGGATTCCTACTTGTTCAAAGGACCAGTTCACCCATTAACAAAAACACATTAACGGAACAGTGGATATCCTAGCAAGACAAGAAATTAAAACGATGCACATTTCTCAATACTAAAATATGTTTTTGTTTTTAATTAACAGTTATGTGGACTCAGACTATAAATCTATCAGTTTTTACTGTTATGGTTTGGCCCTAAACGCTGTATCTGGATCCATCCAGAAAAGAATCTAAACAGAGGTACCCAGGGGAGCACTTCTGCACTACCCATGCATGCAATGGAAATATTAGCTAATTATTCATAAATGAACAAACAAGGGACTTAAACCAGTCTGAGCTGAGCAGTCACTAGTTAACTAAAACTAATGCATATGGATTACAAAATAGCAGCTGGTATGAATGCATGAAGGAATAAAATGTCCAAATAATGTTAAAAAAGGTTGAAATAAAAAATAAAGAAACAGCTGATTAGCTTATTGTTGAGATAGCAATTGATTTTTATTGCTAAATGTTATTTTTCTTTTAAATAAAAAAAAGCATCAATAACAATTTAACTGTTAGCTGAAATTATTACCTAAAATGATGGCTAAAAATCTGAACTACACTTGCTAGGGGAAATTATTAATGAAGAATGTGAAACAAAAGGTGGTGCTTAGGAAGGCCATGAGGTAGAAGTCTCGGGTCCTCCACAGGTAATGAAGGTACATCGGCTATGCATTATAGGATTATGAAGATCCTGCACGGTGGTAGGCCTTTTTCCTTTGCATTTCTGTGATGCCTCAGATGTTTAAGGAGGAGAAATTCCAGGCCTCCCCTGTGTCTGTCCTCACAATGCACAGACAAAAGCATGAAACCTAATACCAGGACCGCGTCTGAAGACTGAGACCATCAATGGGAAGTGAATGATCGACTAATTACAACACCAACAAAAAGCTTCTGAACATAATCCAGAAGAGGCCGAAGGCAGCCAATTATCCGTCACTTCGCATCGTTATTTTACGCCACTCTGACTGTCATTCAGATATTGCATTTCATGTGCAGACTCACAATTTGTATGATGTGCTAAATATAGCATTTATGAATCATTTAATAACAGTTAGAAACACAATAGCCTAGACTATTGACAGAGGAGAAAAGTATGCGTTCCACCATCGACTTTCTATGCAGTCTCTATTACCCTAAAGGTAAAAATAACCCCCAACCAGACACAAGACCATGTGGGCAGTCCAGCTAAAGGGCCTTTTGGCAACAACCACACACACACGTTTACACATCCTTGTCTCCATATGCACCTATGTTATTTCAGCATGTGAGAGTTGTTAACCTCTCGCTATGAGTCATGGTGTAGTCACAGTGTTAGTGGTTATACAAGCATTACGTTCCACGGCAATGGGAGAGCTGGGAGTTTTAAATGACACACACTAATTAGGACATCCTAACATCCCCAGTACGAAGCCACATATGGTTGAAATACATCCGCTGGACAAAAACAGACAAAAACATATACAAACTATAGTGAACATATGGCTGAAACACACACCACACCCGTGTCTGAGCTGCAGCTGCGAGGGCATCAGTCCAGCATGTCACAGTCGAGCAGCAGTACATCTCAAAATGAATCAACTGGAGAAATTAAAAGCACGAGGAAGCGCCTGTTATACTATCATCTGATAATCTTCAGCACCATGCCTCCACTCTCTCTCTGCAGGCTGCAAGTCCCTGTTTGCAAACAGAAAAGCTCTCTCATGTAACCCCGAGCAACAGGTTTCAACACAGTGATAAACAGCTGAGTCCAAAACAGAAAAAACTGCAAGCAGAATCTATTTTTACCCAGTTTCAAAGCACAATCAGTTGTCAGTGAAGTGCAGTAATCCACTGCCTAAGGTTAGGCCTGGGAAGCACTTGTTTCAGGACATGTGTGCTATAGGCTTGTAATTCAAGTTATCAGCTGTAGATGGACAGATAGTAGATAGTGTTCCTATACTGCCACTATGCTCTGGCTTTCAGTCAGAATGAAAGAACCTAATTCAAATCACATCCTCTTACATCTGCAGGATCTCCAACCGCTGAATGTATGTCAGTGTGTGTGTGTGTGTGTGTGTGTGAGACAGCCAGGGAATGAGAGGTGGGGGTTGGCTAATAAGAATGGAGGTCAGAAGGTCACAGCTATCACATTAGGAGGGAAGAGAGTCCTGTTTCCCACAGACACTTATCACAGTCCAGGAGTGACCTGTAGGAGCAGGGTACCATGTTAAATGCCTCCTGTAGCAACATCTGAACTGTTGTAAACTAGAAACTGTTAAAATGTCTTAAATTAATAATTAAACATACAGAATACATAGAAACTTCCACTCCAATGAACTTGAATCAGGAAGTGGAATATGGAGGTAGTATTTAAAGTTGGCAATTGGCTCAATAGCTCTACTACATGTGACTGGTCGATTTCGTGGTTGGTTTCTCATTTAAATTCATATGTAAAGTACCCGTTAATAGAAACATGCGGGTGGATCTTGTCCGTGTAATGCACGCTCTTCATGGATGAGTTTCTGGATTGGGGCAAATTCACGGCTGCACGTTTGGTTGCACAATAAGAGAGGGATTATGGAAATACAGCCAACACGTGAAGCAATGCACAGTGTGGTAATCCTTAGGTTGATTGCTGATTGGTTAAAAAGTTGACCATTAACAGAAAAGATAACCAGTGAAGTTCAACATGAAGAGGAAG